CCCACCCAAGCCTTCCAGCCAATTAAGGAAGATGTAAAAGGCTAATCAGCTCTAATCTGTGATCTTGTTTAATGTCAGGAAAAAAAACGTCTTTCTACAACCCCTTTTTTTTTTTTTTTTTTTTTTTTTTTATGGTCACCTCCCAGGAAGTCCTCAGGTTTAACTAGTGGGAGCTGACACAGCTCAGGGCGGCTTCATGCCACCTGGAGGCCTTGGAACTGCCATTGAGCAGCAAATCCCCATCAGCAGCTCCAACTGTCAGCGGGCAGGGGTGGCTTTGCTTCCTTTCAGGGGTGCTGTGGTTTATAGGAGCACTTTGGGCAGTGACAGGATAGACAATGGTATCTCTGGTTGCTTTAGTGAGAGAGTCCTGGAATGTGCACCCCACCCCTGGGGTGTATTTTACGGTGCTTTGGAAATATGCTCCTTGCATTCTCATCTTATACTTTACTTCTCTTTTTTCCTAAGCTCTCTGTGCTTCTCTTTGTGAAACAGGTTGCCAGCTATGTAAAAGTGGAATTAAACTTGAGGCAGGATTCACAGGGGTAGTTTCCAGCCTTGCCCTTGTTGAAATCAGAGAGGAGGTAGGCAGTGAGCTACCTACAAGCACAGTAAGAATTCCTCAGGGAAGGTAAGTTCAGCGTGAGACAAGGGATCATCTGCTTTCTTACCACTTCTTCCCCTCGTGCCTAAGGCAGCTCAGAAACAAACCCTTCTCCTTCACAGCTGTGCATGAGGCAGGATTACAAAGAATTTAAGTTGGGAGCTTAATGGCAGGTTTTCTTGTTCTGCTTTCTGAACCGATGGCTACTAGCCTACGTTGGAAAAGGGATGAGATGCGTAGGGAGCATTGCAAACCACACCTCCTCCCTTGGACCTGCTCTGATACTCTATTTACAGTGGCAGTGTGTGCTCTCTCCTAGCTTTTTTGCTGCGGAGTACGTTGCCGGTTCCAGGGAAGGGGAGTGTTAATGTCCTGCTGCTGGAGGTATTTGGGGACACCTGCAGAGAGAGAAAATTAGGTGGTTCAATGGGGTGGAGGGGAGGGAAGAAAGTCTGTCTCATTCGGGTAAGGAATTATTTGAGTAGAAGGAAATCCGAACAAGTTTGCAAGTTGCTGTGTCTCCGCTGAGTTTCTCCCTGGGAACTCTCTGTTCTGACTCCCTGCATTTGCTTTATTTAAGGCAGCAGGGCGCAGTGGCATTGCGTAGCGCTGCAGAAAACGGTCGTTATTCCCAGGGTAGAGGAAGGAAAATTTATTGATCGGTTTTCAGGAGCTGAATTAACAAGGTGCTTAATGAACAGATGGTTAACACTTCAATTCAGATCACCCAAGGTCTTGCAAATGTTGAACTGAAGAAACTTGCTTTCAGGTCTGATGTAGTTCTGCAGGTGGCTTAACTAATTCCTGGTGATCCACTGATTTGGGAAACTGCTGATTTAGAGTAATAGCTGCGATGGTTACATTTTAAAAACTTAAGGGTAAAAAGTAAATGCTTAGAATATGCGGGATTGTGATGTTTTCTTATGAAATTGGTGTCTTGAGCTGGTTAGCTTAAGGATTTTCTGTTGCATACTTTCTGAAGACTTAGACATTTTTCTTTAAAAACATTTTTCAGTAAATTTTCCACTAATATCTCATAAGCATAGCTATTCCTGCCCCCCCATTTTCTGTAATCCTACATCAGTGTTGCTGCGGTGGGCTTCTGACTCGGTGACAGCTTTTGTCATAGGGGAATATTTCCCCCCGTTAATAATTTCACCTTTCCCAGAACAAGTTGAGCAAAAGCACTTCTCGGACAGCATCTGCTTCTGAGTTTGCTTCAGCTTCTTCTTGGAAGGAAAAATCTTTGTTCTGGTATTGCATGGGCAGCTAGAATCTGAGGCCTCAAAGGGAAGTCTGATTTGAGTTTGGCACCCATGTTATGGCAGTGATAGTTGTGCAGAGAGGCCTGACCTTTTGCTATTGGAGCACCAACTTCAGTTCATAGGACTGTCCTTGGTGAAAACACAGCAAATGCTGTGGTTCTTTTGGTAGGAGACTCTGTGTACTTTGAGGGTGGTTGGGGCTGATGAGAAAGCAGCCCGTATTCATGCTGAGGAATGGCTAACCTGAACCAGCACTGTGCCTCCAGCAGCAGCTAATGGCAGATACCCTTGTCTTCCCAGCATAAATGTGTAATGGTATTTCCCCAGTACACTCTTTGTTTGTGGCTCAGAAATTTTTCACCAAAACAGATGTTTTGTGTAATAGGCCTTTATGGACAAACTCAGGGAAGAAAAAAGCCAGCCACTTCTGCAGTCCCTGAGTGCCTGTGACATCCTCAGCATCCCGTGTCAGCGAGTCCCAGGCTTTAATGGTGTGCAGAGGAGTGCTTTCTCCTGTCTGATGTGCATATGCCACCAGCCAGTTTTGTCTGGGGATCCTGGATTCTTTTCTTAAAGAAGACAGTGACTGGGGACAATTCCTCAGCATCTCTACTCTCTGGGAATTGGTTATGCAGGCTATTCCACAAAAAGCAAAGTTTTGCATTTGAAGCTTTGTGTATCCATTAGAACTAAAGTCCACTTAGTCAGCAAAAGGCTGTTTATGCATAATATAATTTTGCTCTTGAAGTGCTTCAAGGACACTGATGGAGTGTGTCTAGCTCTCTGCCAGCACAGGTGTGCCTCGTTTCAGCTTGAATTTTCTCTACAGGACGCCTGTAGAGCGTGGTTGCATTCCTGAGGGCAGGGGGAGAGCTTTGTGTACTGGTGCCTCTGCTGCTCTCAGGGTGCCAAAGAAGTCTCCACAGCAGCATTTCTGCTGACGTGTCCTTGCTGAGCTGCAGCAGCCAAGGTAGTGCTCATCGTGTGTCGAGTTTTCCTGGATGACACCTTAGCTGTTCAATAACTAGTGGCACGAATCCAGCAGAAGCGTGCTGACTTATGGTTGTCTCTGGTATAAGCTGCTCTGCACCCAAGTGCTCCCTTTGCTAAAGGGGCAGGTAAGGCAGAAGCAATGTTGATTTGAACAGGCTGAAGAGCTGCCTTGGATTTATGTAATTTCCTGTAAAGACTGTTTGAAGAGCTTTGAATCTCAGCTTAGGTCTGGAGCTTGTCTTCCTTGTGGGGCGTTTCTGTCTGCCACACCAGCCCTTGGAAAAGAGGAACAGAGGAGAGCAGGGTTCTCCTTTGCTTGGCCTCCCAGTGCTCAGTTTTCACTTTGAATCAAAAATGATCCAGTGTGTCTGATGTCAAGTGTCAAGTTCTCTGTCTTCTTGCCTCCTTTTCCCACCTCTGGGCTGGCAAAGAAAGTTTGTTTGCCTCCTGTCTACCTGCCTCACCAGAGCAGAGCCCCCACTCTACAGCCAACGTGCAGGTGTAGCCTACCCTCTGATTGCTGAACCCAAAGCAGCATCTACCTCCAATTTCACAACCGCATTAGCAGTGCTTAGCTAACATGGATAAAGGCTATATTATTTCTTCACAGCTAAAATAACCTATCTTTCTCAATTATGTTCTTGAGCTGCTTGTCTCTGTCCTCCAACAACTGCATATTTGTGGTAGAACGTTAACGACAGCAGCACCAGTGGGAAACTTGAGCAATAGCTCAGAGTCTTTTCTACTTGACTACGTGCATGATATTTACTTACTGCTGGCTAGGCACATCCTTTGTGGATGTGCAGCATGATCTCCATCCAGCCTATGAAAATACAATTAATTCTTCTTGAAGTGAAAGGGTACAATATTGCTGGTTTTCCATTCCTCTGCTGCTGTGGTATATAATCTTTACGTTGCATTGTATGAGATACGGGATATGTTCTGTTCTGTCTCTTTAAAGAACAAAAGTTTCATGAAACCTGTACGCCTTTATAAAAAGGAAAAGAATTTGTAAAAATTAGTTGTTTTTAAACTAGCTGTCAGTATTTGTCATGTCTTATTGCAGGCACACTCTTTATTTTCTGAAAAATCAGCTGTGTGCTGGTTGTGTTGTCAGATCCAAGACCATTAGCTGTTTATGGAAAAAATGTGGTTTGGATTTTGGTTTTAATTGCGGAGAATTAATTCTTGGCCCAAATATTGTTAGAGGAAAAACTGATGCTTTCTCTCTCCGCTCCCCAAGCAAAACAACCCAACAAAGCCAAACCCCCGATCAGTCGGAGCGGCTCCAGTGGGACCACGCGCCCTCGGTGTTTGCAGTGCCAACACGGCCACACTGTGCCAGTGTGCGAGAGCTGCCAAGTGCCCCTGCCTTGCCATGGGTACAGTTGGGGGGTGGCGCCTGGGTGTGATGATTTGTGGCAATTTCTGATGGAAAGAATATTGTTTTAGTATGTTGTGGATACCTGTCTGTGTTTCTGCATGGCAATTTATTTTTTTTTTTTAAGCAAAGATCAAGAAGTTGGTAAGATCAGTCATAAAAAAGTGTTCCTCTGAACTTTGGTGAGGGAAATGGTGAATAGCAGCAGAGCACTTTTTTTATGATGCTGTTGAAACTGACGGAGCCCTTTGCAGCTCCCCGTGTTTCTGGGATATACCTGCGTAGCGTGCTGGCATACCCCATGATGAAGTCATCCATCGATATTGCAGCAGGAGTTAGCTCAGGGCTATCAAGCTGGGCTAATCTCCTGCTGAGTAAACAACACAAAGGTTCCTGGATTTGTTCCTGTTTCCTTAAAGGGATACAATCAAGTGCAGGCAATTAAAAGAGAGAGTGAGTGAAGTGTAGCTCTAGATATTACACCTGATTTCAGGCTCTCTGCCCAGGGTGTGTATGGGTTTTCCTAGGCTTTTTTAAAAAAAAAAAAAAAAAAAAAAACCTTGCAAAACAATTGATGTTTTTCTAATTTTTCAGTGTATTTCTTTTCCTGCCGTTCCCGTTGGGAAGGGAGAGCCCAACAACCACCCAAACAAATTCCAAACAATGGAAACAAATTTCCTAGGGAAGGGAAAGAGCAAAATTAATTTTGAATAAAGTACACTGAGAAATAACTCTTTTTCTTTATTTTTCTTCCCAGCTTTTTCAGACACAGTGACAGAGCCTTTTGAAATAATTTCCACCAAAAGGGTGCCCGGGTCCTTTGAGCAGCTTTTGGAAATTCAGCCTGTGTGGAAGCCAATTTGATGCAGAGGTCAGTGTTGTCCCCTGGCAAGACCTCTGCTCTGCCTTCACCTGGTCAGATTTGTACAGCTGTAATTTTGTCAATGCATTTAAAATATGTGCTTTTTGCATACAACTAGGATAATAATTGTAAATACATGTATTTGATCACTGAATCCCACAATACTGTAAAATTTGGGATGTGTAGATGTGACTGTGTCCCACAAGGAGCACTTTTTATAGTAATTATTGGCTTTCAGAACGTTGGGAGAGAAAGGAAGGTAAAGCAAACAGACCAAGTGGCTTATGGTTGGTATAAAATGGTATAAGGACCTGTGAAGTGTTTATTGCCCTTTTCTTCTAAAATGTACCTGTTCTCACCTGCTCCTGAGTGATGCTCCCATCCTGTGAGCAAGCAACAAATGCTTTGTACTGCCACATCTTGGCAGGCTTCTGCTGTGTGTTTGTAATTTTCTGAGGCAACAGGCTTCTGCTGCAGGGATCCCTTACCCCAGCCCTTCATCTCCCCTTTCTCTAATGCCTTCTCCTGCATGGGATCAAACCTGTCTCATCCAGAGTATGCGTAAAGAGCATTATCAATGCACACCTAAACATCTGGTGAATTCCTCCCTTTAAAGTTGTAAGACTGTTTTTCTGCACCAGGAGTAGAAAGGAAAGGGTGTGTGTGTGCTTCTGATCTGTGTAAATAAATGGTTTAAATATTTAGCTTTAGTATGGGGGTGTTTTTGTTGTTTCTAATAATATTGTCTTAGGCAGAGATGCAGGAGGTCGTCTTCTGGGAAATTTCCCAGCAAGTATCTAAGCACTTTAGTTTGTGGTACACCTTGAACACCTACTATGTACCTGTAATGATTCTTCTTTAACATTGCCTTCTACCACTGTGTCACCAAAAATTCAGGGGTGCATGAAAGCAAAAACCTACTTTCCCTTATAGCTCAACAGGATGCAACTACTGGATTTGCTCTGTAATCCTGGGTAAGCCACTTAAGCCAGTTGTGTTTAGTTTTTCCTCCTTCGTTAACTGTTGATTCATTGTCTTGCATTGGGGCAGGACTGCTAGGAATGCTGTGTGTTCAGTGTGTATACAATGCCCTGCAGCGAGACTGGGGTCATCTGAGGACCAGCTGTGAAAAATTTGGCTGTGCTCCCCACTTTCCTCTTTGTCTTCAGGCTGTGGAAAAAAAACACCCCAAAAACCCCCAAAGTTGTCACATGCACACAGTGGTCACGGTCACATAGATAAGGGCTTGGCTCTTGATTGCGTTTCAGCCATGACTTCTCTTTACCTCTTGAACACTGCTTACTGCTACAACAAGAAGCTTTCTGAGACAATTAATTGGAAGCCATGATCCTGTAATGCTACCTTAAAAGTCGTATCTACCCTTTCCAGGAAAAGCACCTTGAGTCTGTTCTTCTGTTTGTTTAAATTTGCAATTTCTTCAAGTTCTGTGTTCAAGTTTTTCATTCTTCAGCTTTGAGGCTTTGAAACTATTTTGATGCTTGAGTTTCACATGTAATTATCAGTCTCCAGGAACTGAGTCTTAAAATAAAGTGCCAGCTGTCACAAGCATCAGAATCAAATTGGAGGAGCTGACAATCCATAAGCATAGGCAGGTGATGTGACTTACCCAGGGCCATATGGCAAGCTGAATCAGGATTAAAATTCAGGTCTTGTGATTTCTGCAAAGAATGCCATGCCCATGGGATCCAGATGACTTTCTGGCACAGCTTTGCACAGGACAAACTACAGTTTATGCTTCAGGTGGTTAAAATATGCACATAAGACTGGTCTGAGTTACCTCTGTGTAGAAACACAAGACCTGGTGTTAGCTGTCTTTACTGGCAGGGGAATTTCCTGTTCTGTGCTGTGTCTGAGATCTATGTTTGCTTTCTGGGCTCTGGGAAGGTTGTCTTGCAGGAGCAGGTGAATTTTTGCTTGCTGGGCCCCAGCACACACCGTGGTGGGAGATACCTGGTGTAATCCCCAGGTCCTGTGTGCACCAGTCCTCAGCTTTAGTACTCTAATGGACCTCAGCTGTGTTCAAAGTTGTCCTTCAGTGGAATTCTGCATCTTCCCCAGTAGTTTGCAGTGATGATCTGTAACTGAGGAAGGTGTGACAGCACTTGTGAGACTAAGACCTGCTTTGTGCCTCATCTGTGTTGGTACCATGCAATGCCCTTGCAAACGGGGATGGAGACAAAAAGCTTCTCAAAAGCCTCTGGGAGAGAGGTCCGTCAGACCTGCAGTGTATTTTGCTTACTGGGGCTCTCTGATTTGCTGCTTTGTTTCTCTGCGTGTGCTGTCTCGTCACTGACAGAGCCACATCTGGCTTGAAGCCACTTGAAGCAGTTTGAACTAGAGACTTTGCGCTTGAAACATTGAATTAATGGGCTTGGTCTTTTACATGTGAGCAAAATCCTTTCAGACTCTTGTCCATGTCAGGCTCCCAGCTCTTCTAATTAAGAGGTTTTTAGCTCAGCCAGTGTTTGAGAGCTATGGTACAGCTGGGCTTTTGATAAAATGAGGAGATGCTAGAGGTAGGGATGTAATGGGTCCGGTTTCAGCTTGCAAATATGTCTCTGAGAGAGAACAGAACGTCCTCCTTGTACAACCTTTTGTTTGCTGAAGCAGAGCTGGGGAGACGTTGTCTGCGTGGGCTGCTCTGGCTTTTGAAATAGAAATGATGAAGCTGCTAAAAAGTAAGAGAGATCTTCTGGGGACCTCAGTGTCTCTTTGGTGGCTAGAGGGATGTTTTAGAAAACAGGTTTTTTTTATTTGCACTTTTTCATATGGTGGCTGTTTTCTGCAATCCTGTCCTGGCTCTTGTTTTGAACTCCCATTTTGTTTCCTCCCCGGCTGCCGCCCGCACTCTCCGTCTGGTACAGGGTGCTGCTTGTGCTGAGGCAGTGTCTTCATGGAAGAAAAGGATCTGGCAAAAAGCTTCAGCAAGGTGGCCTGTAGCAGGCAATAACTCATCAGTTGGGCTATGTGCTTCCTCGCTGTAATCACCTGTAAAATCTATGCAGCATAAGGTATTTGGGTCTTTTTTTTTTTTATTTCAAGGCCGTGTTTGCAACTTTTACTTGAATGTGAAAAGTAAGCTGGGGTTCTTTCCAACTCCTTAACTATCAACACGTACAGATTTGCCATCAGAAGCAAGCTGACTGTCCAGATAATGGAGAGAATCAAGCTTTAGCCTTCAAATTTTGCTGTGTTGGCTCCATAACACAAAAAGAAGCTTGGTAGGAGAGTTTGTTTGAAAAACTGGAAGAGAGGAAGACCCCCCTTTGCCTTCTCACTTTTCATGCATTTTCCCCTCTTTTCCTCTGCAGTATTCCCCAAAGTTTGTGTCCAGCTCTGTGTCAATTGCTTCACGGGAATGTCTACTTGACTAGAAACCTGTATCATAGGTAGTTTTATTTAAGGTAGCTTTCTGCAGAGTTTCAAAAAAATATATTCTGAAGTGCCACTAAACAGAGGTGCCCTGATAAAACACTGATTTGAAAGGGGGAGTGAAGTGTTCTGCTTGTTCTCTGAAGCAGAACCACCCTCTGGCTCACGAACCAGCGGTAATAAACGGAGTCAAATAGCATGGTGCGTAATTGCCTTCTCCTTTTGTGTCAGCTTCATACACTTCTTGCGTGTGACATTCTTCCTGGCCATCATGCTCTTTGTCCTCCCATTGTACTAAGAGTGCAAGCAGAATTAACTTGTTTGTTATCATGGCATCTGTACGTGGCTTTTAATTTCTTGGAGGTTAAAAAAAAAACACCAAACAAAAAACCCCAACCCTCAAGCCCTCTTTGTCTAGTACTGTTTAAATCTGCTCTCAGCCTGCTTGCACAGCTCACTTCTGCCCTGCAATGCAGAACACAGATCTGCAGAAGCAGAAGTCTAAAGTAATCAGTGCAATAAGACTTAAAAAACGGTGGTGGTGCTACTGAAGAAAAGCTGGAAGGTGTTACGTGGGATCAGTAAGTCGGATTGGGATGGATCGGGGTAGGGGTGTGTTGTATGGGTCTTTACAATCACAGGGCTGTGCTTCAAGGGGTGCTCTCATTCCTAGCCTTTTTGTTTTAGGTACTTGCAAGTAACAGGAATTATTTTCTTTGGCCTCTGAAATGTCTCCATAGTTGTGTGGTTTCCTTCCTATAAAGGTGAATGTTTCAGATTAAAATTCTGTTTGGCAGCTCATGAGCTCTCAAAACAGAGGCTGGGAGGCAAGGAGGGCAGGAGTGCCCAATTTATTAAATTTTTCCCAGTGTAGGAATTGTCTGACCTTTATTTGTGCTGTAATAACATGAAAGGAGATGGAGTTACTATTTGGGAAGTGTTAACAAGAAAATGTCAGAGGCATAAGGCCAGCCAGGGGACCTGGGCAGGAGAGAGCTGGGAGAAGGAGACATTCCTTCTTCTCTTTCCTCCATCACTTACACAGATCTTCTTCTCTGCCTTTGTCCAAGTGGACATTCTTGCAGTTGTGCTGCAGGTTTAGTGTTCAAAGGCACAGAGAAGCAACAGGAGGCGGAAGAGCACATGTTATTACCAGAGGAACCAAGACCAGAGAGAAGCATCCAGGGAGCTGTGGGAGAGCTTAGAGCTGCCCCAGCTCATGGTGTTTGAATCCCCTATCTCAGGCCTCAGGACTATCACTGTGCTCCCATGCAGGCTTACCTACATGCTTTAGTGTTCCCTTTCCATCCTCTGATCTCCCTTGAAACCTTCCCTTGGCACCTGGCTTTCACCAGCAGAGAGCTCTGACTGCCCTGTAGGTCTGAGCCAGAGGAGGAGAGATGGCAAAAAAGCATCCTTGCTCAGTGTAGGGTCTGGAGCCCATCACAGTGTGGAGGGTCACGGCTGTGGGGTAGGCTTACTTACGCCCATGTTGTGTACAGTGTGTACCTATACATGGTGTGTACCTCTCACACAAATTCTCTACATGTTGTCTGCCTTCCCCCCTCCCCTCCGTAACAGATGTGGATGCTGAATATTGTTCTTTCAAATCAAAAAGGCACATAACTTCGTGATGTGTGGAGTGGAAGTGGAGGGTTGTGTTTGACAGGGATTTCTTCTGTTTCCTGCCCCACAGTTCTTCTCTGTGCTCCTGCCCTGGGGAAAAAAACGTTGAGAAAATGGAGAACCAGAGGGGAGCACTCGTGGGACACGTCCACTGGGAAGTAGAAGAGGAAGGGGATGAGGAGGATGGGGTGGCTCCTGATGCTTCTCCTTCCAGCCAAATGAGTGAATTGGAAGATGTGCAGGTGGAGATGCTCGAGAAGGCAAGGGAGCTCTTCCAGCTGTGTGACAAGGATGAGAAGGGTTTTATCACCAAGGTGGACATGCAGGTGAGGAAAAAAATCCTTCCCCTTTCCTGGGAAAAGCTGTGATGTCATGGGTGGCAGAAGAGGGCAGAATGTGGCACGTCTTTGCTTTTGGCAAGCATGGGTGTGCATGTGGGCTCTGTCTCATTCAGGTTTCTGGTAACAAAATTCTGCCACAGCCAGCTGCTAGGAATCGAAAATCCAGAAGGGCCTTGGATCTCTAGGGAATTCCTGGGACAAGTGGGACTGCAATTCCAGATTTTTAAGGAGTGCATCAAATAAAAAAAAAATTGCAACAATTCCTACAAACATTAAGTATTCAGTGGATGGGAAATTTCAGGGGGAAACAATCTTTGTTTTAATTTAAAAAAACAAAACAACAACAATACCCCCAAACAGTCAATGATGAAAAAAATCCACCGACCTCTTAACAAAAAAAGCTGTATAACTTTTTTTTGTCTCAATCATAGCTAAAGCTTGCTCTCAAAAACTCACTTTAGGCTTGAACTTTAACTTTGCTCTAGAATAATGCATTTTGTTGCTTTCTGTTTTCTGCTTTTTTTTTTTAGAACCAGTATTTGTTAACAGAATCTCTGTAGTTTTCTGTGAGTTTTATTTTAATGATTTATCAGGAAGATTAGTCAGTATCATCTCTCCCTCCATTTATAATTAACACTTGGCAGGTCCATGCTGGTTTAATTATTGACTCACTTTGTTTTGGGTTGTGTGATGCCTAATTTTGTATAGTTACATTATAAATATTTATTAAGCTTTTATCTAAACCTCCACATTTAATGGTGAGTAATGAGGTTTTAGTCTGCACTTCCTGTTGTTTGGGAGCTTCTTTGCCCCTTCACACCACATGCTCTACACATGTATCATGAAGAGGAATCTCTGCTCTTTGGCTTGTGCCATGGGAATAGTGATGCTGTCCCAACAGGCAGAAGGTGACAGAAGGAAGATAACTCCCTGTTACGGACTGAATATTTTGTCTGTGAGCTGAAATATTTTCTGCAAGTGCTGGGAATTGAATCCAGACACCCACAAGTCTGTCCTCCCTTCCTGGCCAAAGAGATGGAGGTGGTACCTGATGAGTCCATAGAGATCTCTCTTGGGAGCAGCAGTGGTCACAGGAAGCTGGCACTGCCCCGGGGGGGGGCAGCCACCTTTGGGCAGGGGTGGAGGGAGACAGGCAGTGAAGTAGAGGTAATGGTTCTGAAGTGGGAGAGGAAGAGGGTTGAGCTCCCTCTCTGCAGTCCTGGTTGAATCATCCAGTAGTGGAAAGCACTGCCGTATCGGTGGGTCCAAACAGGCAGTTGTGTCATCACTCAGCTGTGCTGGCAGACTGTCGCATCCCAGCCAGCGTGCAGTGCTGAAAGGGCACATTGCTGTGGGCCAGAGCTGAGGGCAAGCAGGGACAGGAGCTAGTCACAGAGGAGACTTGAGTCATGTCTAAATTTTATTTATTCTTTTGTCTCTGCAGCGGCTCCAGAGTGAGCTCCCCCTGACCCTGGAACAGCTGGAGACTGTTTTTGACAGCCTGGAACAGAACAATAATGGATATCTTACGCCTGTGGAGTTCAGCATGGGACTAGGTAAGGACTGCACAGAGGCAGAGGAAGGAAAACGCCCACCTGTGATCATAGAATCATTTAGATTGGAAAAGACCCTTGGGATCATCAAGTTCAAACATCAACCCTACTCTACAAAGTTCTCCCCTACACCATATCCCCCAACACCACATCTAAATGACTCTTAAACACGTCCAGGGATGGTGACTGAACCACCTCCCTGGGCAGCCTATGCCGGTGTCTGACCACTCTTTCTGTGAAAAATTCTTTCCTAATGTTCAGTCTAAACCTACCCTGTTGGAACTTGAAGCCATTCCCACTCGTTCTGTCACTAATTACCTGCGAGAAGAGACCAGCACCAACCTCTCTACAGTGTCCTTTCAAGTAGTTGTAGAGAGTGATGAGGTCTCCCCTCAGACTCCTCTTCCTCAAACTAAACAGTCCCAGCTCCTTCAACTGCTCCTCGTAAGATTGATGCTCCAGGCCCTTCATCAGCTTCATTGCCCTCCTCTGCACTCGCTCCAGCACCTTGATATCTCTCTTGTATTGAGGTGCCCAGGACTGGACACAATACTCGAGGTGTGGCCTCACCAGTGCTGAGTACAGGGGGACAATCACCTCCCTACTTCTGCTGGTCACACTATTTCTAATACAAGCCAGGATGCCATTGGCTTTCTTGGCCACCTGGGCACACTGCTGGTTCATACGGCAGTGATCCAATGATACGATATTTTATCTTGGTAAAGCACAGAAAGTGCAGTGGTTCTGCTGAAGCTGTACCAGCTGTAAGTGCAATGCCCCATGCTTGTGGGAGTAACATCGGAGAAGGTGTGTGTGCAGTACTGCTGTCCTCCTTCCTGAGCCTTTGTGTTGCTGCCTTCTACTACTGTTACCTGCCCACCTGGTAGGGACAGCTTCTGAACATCTACTGGAGTTGGTACATACTCACTGCAATGGCCAGGGACACCTCCCGCTAGACCACATTGCTCAAAGCCCCATCCAGCCTGGCCTTGAACACATCCAGGGATGGGGCCTCCACAACTTCTCTGGGCAGCCTGTTCCAGCGTCTTACCACCCTCACAGTAAAGAATTTCTTCCTAACATCTAATCTTAATGTGCCCGCTTTTAGTTTAAAACTGTTATCCCTTGTCCTGTCGCTACACTCCCCAATAAAGAGTCCCTCCCCATCTTTTCTGTAGGCCCCCTTTAAGTACTAGAAGGCTGCTATAACGTCTCCCTGGAGCCTTGTCTTGTCCAGGCTGAACAACCCCAAGTCTCTCAGCCTGTCTTCATGGTCATCTTTGTGGCTCTCCTCTGGACTTGCTTCAACATATCCATGTCCTCGAACTTGAAGCCATTCCCACTCGTTCTGTCACTAATTACCTGCGAGAAGAGACCAGCACCAACCTCTCTACAGTGTCCTTTCAAGTAGTTGTAGAGAGTGATGAGGTCTCCCCTCAGACTCCTCTTCCTCAAACTAAACAGTCCCAGCTCCTTCAACTGCTCCTCGTAAGATTGATGCTCCAGGCCCTTCATCAGCTTCATTGCCCTCCTCTGCACTCGCTCCAGCACCTTGATATCTCTCTTGTATTGAGGTGCCCAGGACTGGACACAATACTCGAGGTGTGGCCTCACCAGTGCTGAGTACAGGGGGACAATCACCTCCCTACTTCTGCTGGTCACACTATTTCTAATACAAGCCAGGATGCCATTGGCTTTCTTGGCCACCTGGGCACACTGCTGGTTCATACGGCAGTGATCCAATGATACGATATTTTATCTTGGTAAAGCACAGAAAGTGCAGTGGTTCTGCTGAAGCTGTACCAGCTGTAAGTGCAATGCCCCATGCTTGTGGGAGTAACATCGGAGAAGGTGTGTGTGCAGTACTGCTGTCCTCCTTCCTGAGCCTTTGTGTTGCTGCCTTCTACTACTGTTACCTGCCCACCTGGTAGGGACAGCTTCTGAACATCTACTGGAGTTGGTACATACTCACTGCAATGGCCAGGGACACCTCCCGCTAGACCACATTGCTCAAAGCCCCATCCAGCCTGGCCTTGAACACATCCAGGGATGGGGCCTCCACAACTTCTCTGGGCAGCCTGTTCCAGCGTCTTACCACCCTCACAGTAAAGAATTTCTTCCTAACATCTAATCTTAATGTGCCCGCTTTTAGTTTAAAACTGTTATCCCTTGTCCTGTCGCTACACTCCCCAATAAAGAGTCCCTCCCCATCTTTTCTGTAGGCCCCCTTTAAGTACTAGAAGGCTGCTATAACGTCTCCCTGGAGCCTTGTCTTGTCCAGGCTGAACAACCCCAAGTCTCTCAGCCTGTCTTCATGGTCATCTTTGTGGCTCTCCTCTGGACTTGCTTCAACATATCCATGTCCTCCTTGTGCTGAGGGCTCCAAAGCTGGATGCAGTACTCCCGATGGGGTCTCATGAGAGTGGAGAAGAGGAAGGATGCAGAGTAGAGATCAGGGTGAAAGATGAATGGGTGCCATTTGGGCACCTTAGCACAGTGCCCTCTGTGTTATGGCTTGGTGATTCCCAAATCTCATTGTTTGAGGCATTTGTACCAGCCATAGCCATAGATGGACACCATGATGGTACCTGCCTCAGTGCCATTGCTGGCATGGGTAGGCAAGATTTCTCCTTGTGTCAGCCACCAGTTGTCAGGGACCACTTTGTGTTGGCAGCCTGGCTCTGTGGCACTTGCTCCAGTCTAGGCAGAACGCTTCATTTCTGTGTTTCTTTTCTTTATGGTTGTTCTTTGTGTCTGGCTTTATTGAAAATCTTTTCAGACTTTTCCCCTAACTCAAGAGTTTGGCATGGTGTGTTGCCATCTTCCTTCTGGAATGTGCGGGGGGGAAATCAAGGGAAGCAGTTCAAGCTGCAATCAACTCTGCTTCTGGAGAGGGCTCCTTACGTGGCCTCTGAGAGGTTACGGGGTACATCTGCACAACTGACAAAAGAGCATACATTTAAAATGTTCAATTTAAAGCAATCTGAGATCCTTCTAGAATGTCAGAGCAATTTTCAGCTAATTCTCTAGCTCAATTTTCCCATCTGTAAAATAGAGATAATGAAAGATAATGACTCTTTCTTTAAAGCAGACATCCAAAGTGCCTAATCTAAATCCATCTCCTTAATGAACTGTCCGAGCCTCAGGTTTTAAGCTGAATAGGATCTGTATCTCCACACTGGAAACTTTTTTTACTGCAAGTTCTTTTACTTGCATCCCCAGAGCAGTAGAGAAGTGTCTAGGTTGTGGACATACAAAGCTAAGAAGCGGTCAAGTTAAGTGACTCTAGGTACACAAATAGTGGATATTTTTCCCCTTAAAGCAGCTTAATGTTCTCATCCATGCTCTGAACACCCTTGGCTCCTGGCCCTGTAGCTGCCTTTTGAACCAAGCAGATATGTTTTGGAAAGGATGAGTAGCTGCTAATGGAGGTCTGACCTCTGTATACAGGATGGAGGCCTGCGTTTTGGATAGGATTGCTTGATTTGTTTCTTTGAGAAGAATTTGTTCCCAGCATCAATATTTGTCACATGCCTTGCATAGCATGAAGTTCTCATGGCATTAGTCTCTTAGTGTCTCAGCATGAAACAGGATCCAGATAACTGGAAGCCATCCGTACGTGGGATGGGGTGAGGGGTTGTTCAGAAAGTAAGTTTATTATGTTCAGACACTACTCAATCTTAGCAAGAGGGGGTCCTTGTCCCGTAGCACTTGAATCAGAACAGATGTAGCACGTGAGAAGGAAAGGGTAATGATCTCCTCCTCACATTATTTAAGCTGTGGAGGCATGGTGGTATTGAAGGCACGGTGCTATTCAGTGCTGGGCTTGCAGTCCCAGAGGGAGCTTGTGGAGCTCCATGGGAATGAAGTGACCTAATGCTGCATGTTTCACATGCTGAGAATCCAAGGCCGTGGGTGGTAGGTCATCTTCACGCAGATGTGAGCAGAGCCCTCACAGCCAGGGCCAGGAGCCAGTTTCAGTCCCAGCATTGCAGACTGGATGCTGACATCACTCAGGACATCAGAACGGAAGCTCTTTACTGACCAGGGGCTGTGTTCTATACCAGCAGTGTGCAGACAGCTTCTCATGGAGCTCTGTCGGGCCGCCATTTAAATAGCAGCTTATTAAATAACATCCAATTTGACTTTCTTTGTTCTCCTTCTTCTCTTCTCCTTCCACCAGGAAAGTTATTAGGGATTGAGTTGTGTCAAGGGGCTGGGAGAATGGATCACTCCAGACACGAGGAAACCTTTGAGTCAGGCTGGTCAGATGACTTAGACCTGGCAGAGGATGATGAAGAGAAACGATTCTGTTCCATGATGGAGCAGCTCGGAGCAGCCCACATGTTTGACGAGTAAGTAGGGGAGTTGCATGGCATTACTTTTACCCTGCTTTAATCTTGTGATACCAAAAAGTCAAAGTACCAGCAAAGACCAAAGAGGTGAACTGTGTCACTTGCTCTCTGAAGCACTGCTTGGACTTTCTGTACTGCTGGTTTTGGTTTTCATTTGCTTGGTAACAAATGCAGTGAAGTCTGAGTTTTCTCATCAGTTTACAAATACTTCTAGTGCAGTGCTTTTTCGCAAAGAGTTTCCCAAACTGAAGTTCATACCTCAGCTGGAAAATGTAGCAGTTGGTGATGTGGAAGCCCATCTGCCTGCAGCCAATGAAAAGAAGCATGTGAGGGTTAGACAAGGTGAGGAGGATGAGTGTGCTGTCTGTTCCAAAACGATGGTTGACTGTTCGCATATGTTCAGGCAATCTTAGTTCTTAGAGCCTGTGTGAAAGATCTGCGCTCAAGTGGCTTTTTGGCACTGGGCTGATCTTGAAAGGCTGTGAAAGGCTAAACTGGGCAAGGGATGCTCACCCGAGCCTTGAAATTTGTATTATGCCCTTGCATATGGCCCCAGTAGAATCTGCAGTCCCCAGTGTCATCCAGCCGTTTTTTAGGGCCTTCCCAAGTGAAGCATTATGCATAGAAGATGTGCTTCTTGCTGGGGCCAGGGTGCCCAACAGCATCTGCAGCAGCCCGTTTTTTCAGGCATTGTAGCCAAACAGTGTTGCCAGTTTGCAGGGAGCAGCCCTGGTAGGGGCAGGAGATGAACAGGATTGGAGACAGAAGCTGAGAGTGAAGGAGGTTGTGTCTTTCAGAGCTGCATCTGTCATGAAACAGATATGCGGGTTTTTTTCCTCATTTGCATTGTGATGCGAAGCACCTGCATGTTTCTTTTAACGCTAAACAACTTCTGTCCTGAAAAGTTCTGGAAAGCTGTTATGCCTCAAATAATGGAATAACACTGTGAAAGGTCATATTACTGTTCTAGAAAAATAGCCTCTGGTGCTTATTGTTCTGCTTTGAGAAGCATCAGGTCTTAAAGGGGAATAATTCTATGTTTTATTTTGACCACTTACTTGCAGTTTTATGCAATGAGTTAAGTAGCTACTTCATGTCATGCCTTTGTGCCAAGCCAGCTGTTGTAAAGCAGTAATATAAACCAGAAGCTCATTGGGGTCGGAGCGAGAATCTGAACTGTCTGTCTTCACTGTTTTTGCTAGAAAGAAATGGCTTTGTTTATTAACAGGACTTAATATGTTCTGTTATCTAAAACAAGTTTTGATGAAATGCCAGTAACTTTTTCAACCTGCGACAAAAAAAAGACTCTATCATGCAATGGTGGCAGAGGGAATCAAGAGCTTTTCAGGGTTTTTTTGTTTGTTTTCTCACAAAAAAGATTAAGGGAAACAAATACATGGACAAAGAAAAATACCTATTTTGGTAATGTGTGTAGGTATAATTATTCTGTATGTTTCAAGGTAGTTCCTCCAAAGTATTTAATGCATTTATTTTTTTTTAATTAAAAATAGTAATAAAAAGCTCTTTCCCCAAAAGAAGCATGAAGGCAGGCTTATAACACTCTTTGGGAAAGAGTAAGTTTGTAAGTGCTGTGTTCAAGCTACAATGAATTAAATGCCAAAACAGTGTAATCTTTATTTCAGGTTCAGAAAAATACACCTTTGGGTTTTCAGGGCTTCTTCCTGTGACAGCTGGGCAAACTTGTTTCTTTTGTTTGTCCCTCAGTTTCCAAACCTGTAAAATAAATAAATGACAAGGACAGTAGCATGACTGGTAAAGTCCTGGTGTGAGAACAATATCTGTATGATGTATGCTAAAATTCCTGGGCTATAACAGTTTGTTACTTGACCATAGCTCACAGCGAATTTGCTGAATCTTCAAGTCTTGGTTTAGACACAAAATATATTATTGCTTAATACTTGAAAAGTAATCATTCCAGGTTTGCTTCCTAGAGTTCTCTTTTCCTCTTTCAGATGACTTCCTTTATTTTAACCTCGCAGTAGATCTTGCTCCACGTGCATGCTCTGCCATTGTCCACCTCCCCTCATCTTTGCTATGATGGTCTAATAGAGGCCATCACAGGAGAAGGGCAGTTTGACTGTCCCGAGTGCACGTTGGAGTTGAAGTAACAGTCTGTAAGATGGCACAGAAACTCATTTGCTTTTCTTCTCTCTTGTATGCTTGCTCCAGTCCACGTGAGATTCGGGAACTCTGGGCTCGGCTACGAAAGGAGCGTCCGGAGCTCTTATCCAATTTTGAAGAGTTTCTGTTGCGTGTTTCATCATACATAAGGGAGGTGAATCACGAGAAGGAGTCAATGGAACAGGCATTGAAACGGTAAGGAGAACATCGTGGCCATTTGCTGTATGAAACCAGCTGATGCTTGGATGCTGCCTCAAATGCAAGGAGAAGACTGGGTTACAGGATGCAGAGATTTTTCTTGCTGTAATAAAATTATTCTTTATCTTGATCTGATCCCCATGGGTTTGTTTTGCATCAGTGCCCAAGCAAAACATTTGGTCTGGTTAAAATCCCACTCAGTGCCACACAGCTGTTAGCAGGAATCTCTTTCCACCCTCCTCTCCTGGTTTTTTTTTTCAGTGTTCTCTTTCCTGACCTGTATTCACCTTGCCTTTTGTAGGAAGGAGACAGACCATGACCGAGAAGTCAGGTGCCTTTATGAAGAAATGGAGCAACAGATCAAAGCAGAAAGGGAGAGGCTGATCTGCCAGGTACCTCATCTCTCTTGGCTGAAGTCAAACTTTCCCTGGTCTGAAGTAGAGGTGACGGCTCATCTGGTCAAGGACCAGCTCTTATTGTGCTGGGTGTTATATGCACAGGTGTGTATCTTTACCTTTGCAGGAAGCACTGAGACATGACAGGAGTAACCTGCTCCAGAAGGAACTGCACAGCAAAGAGCAGGAGCTGGAGAAAATCCTGTACCGCCAGAAGAAGGTAATAGCACCCAAATCCTTTGTAAAGAAGCACCTCCCCTTCTATTGTCTCTCTGCGAACACCTTTTCTGGTTGAGAATCTTTTTCATCTGCTCAGGGTTGGTACTAGTTAGTCTAGTTCTCTTCTGACTCTGAAAATGTTGAAGTGGTTTTTCAAGTGATTGGTTTGTCTTCAACTGTAACATCTTCCTAAGAAGATGTGTGGACAAAACATTCATATCTGCTTTGTTTTCTCTTGGCACAATTTTCCCATTGGTTGTATGATAACTATTTGGCAAGGAAGACAGGGGAAAAATTTGGAAGTTATGAGTCTAGAGCCTTTTGTGGTGTGAAAGCAAGCTGTGTATGGACATACTAGAGCCAAATTTCTCTAGTTTGTGTTTTCTGATTGCTCCAAAATAACCCAGAGTGAACAGTTCTGTGATGCTTAGAGCTGTACGTACTGTATGTACGCATTTCAGCATCTAATGACGTACTGATTAATCGGTCACAGAAGAGATCAAAGGAGAAACTTTCCTTTAGTGTGCCAGCCCTGGCATGGACATTTGTATGGGATGGTCCATTCTGGATATTTTTTTCTTTTTGTTTGAAGAACAGGAGCATGACCCCCAGAGAAACAAGTCATGGGAGGTACCTGTAAGATGCTGGCAACTAGGGGTATGCAAGTTGGGTACCTAGCTGCTATGTGGATGAAATAGCACTTCTCTGAAATCATCAGCTCATTGGGCAACAGTTGGAAAATCCAGCAAAACTTAGGTGCCATCAGGAAGGATATTGAGAATTAGATAGATTTCATTTTCCTGCTGCCCACACTTTTGATGTGTCTTAACTGGTGTGTGCAGTTCTAGTCTCCTCTGACTCCATTGTGTCCTTCTTAAGTATGAAGGTACTGGAGCATCTGCCTCAGGACAGCCTAGACTTAATTTTTGAGAGGAGGAGACTGAGGGAGGAAGATATAAGTGAACTCTATGGACTCAGGAAGGTGGCGGATAAGGTCCGCACGGAACTGTTACTCTCTACCTCCTGCAACAGCGGAGGTGAGGGACACTCAGACCAGTATGAATTTGATTTAGAAGAACCTACCTCTTTACACAGAGATTAGTGAACTTCTGGATTTTTTTGCCACAGGAGGCAGACAATATCAGCAGTTTAAAAATGGATTGGACAAACAAACGGACAACAGGTTCGTAAATGTTTATTAAAAGGAGGAATAGTCAAGTATGTGGCCTCCAACATCCCTAGTCCAGGGACCATGGATGCTATAGGTATAGATGTGACCACACGCCAGGAGGTGTTTGAGAGGAATGGACCATAGTTAGGTGTCTAGACGTCCTCTTTCTAGGTCGCATCCCCTCTTGCTATGCGTGAAGGCAGAGTACTGGGCTCCATGGACACGTAATCTTACTCGAATGGTCATTTCTGATGCTCTTTGCTTAGGACAAACCTCAGAGTTATGTAGGTAACCAGGTCCCCCTTGTGGTGTAAGACCAGTAGTGTAATCGTGCTGTTCTGTGCTATTGCTTCCATGTACAGACAACGTAAACGAGAGATTTGTGTGAGATAGAGATTTCTTAATCTTAATGCAGGTGCTTTACTTAAAGCTTGTCCCCTGGCTTATTGAAAATCCAAAGGCTGTAGTTTCTGTTCCTTGGTCTCAACTCCACTGCTCGATGTATGTGGTCATGCTCAAATTTTTCCTGATGTCCAAAGGACTGGAAGTCTCCAGAGAGAGCTGGGTGTGACTTGTGCTTGTAGCCCCAATGGGGAGAGATGTGGAGCTTGTTTTTCAAGGAACCTATGAAAGGTCACTCCTGCTCATGACTGTTGTACATGTGTGCTGGCAGAGAGCAGGGCAGCAAGAAAAAAGCACTTTATCTTGTGCCACAGTGTGCTGTTTTTCTTTCCCTTTGAGAGGGGGAGAAGGTAGGCTGAGAGAAAAGGCAAGCTGAAGGTATAAATGTGGAGGCTGACTCTGGCACCTCCTGCACTGGTCACAACTGCTTCCTGGTGCTCCTCTCTGGTTGCAAGCATGGACTGTATAACTTTTTGGGGTAAGTTCTCAGATGGGTACCACAATTTCTGCAGAGCACCAGCTTCAGCAGAGGGCACTGGTTAGCTGGTATGGCTGGCTAGATACTGAAGTGCCAGTATGATCCTTCTTGAGATGGGCGGGTTTGACGATTGCATCTGTCTTTGCCTCTTTCCCAGGCTCTGCCAGCCACTGTGAGGAATCACATCGCTGGTGGAGTACATGACAGCAGGCTTTAAAATTCCTAAGTCAGGTTTGTTAGTCGTGCTGGGGTCTTGTGCTGCCTAGAGTACAGCTGTGCCTCAGTGGCATTTAAACAACATCTCTAGCCCGAGGCCCTGTCTCCAACAGTAGTTAAGGCCACCCAATCACTTAACTTTCCAGGTGCAGTGTGCGATACTCCTAGCACCTTGATACGTCTCCTTTCAGCTGCTGTGGGCTCAGGAAGCCCCCAAACTAGAGGATGCATTTCAACAACTGTGCCTAATAAGTCCCGACAGACGGACTCCTGCTTCTGCCCAAATTTTTCCAGTCCTCCTTTGACCCTCATTTGCACTCTGATTTCTGTAATGCCAGATAGCAGCAAACTCTGCACGCTGCCTGAAGCGCTTCCTCAGCTGTGCCTGACTAATCGTATTGCTTGCTCCCCAGTGCTGGCATGATGAGAAATAATTGCTTCCAATTCACCTTCTCTATGCCACTGGTGGTCCTGTAGACCCAAGTGGTGTTTACTTCCCTTCTGCCTCGTTGTTTACATCTGCTTTTTCAGCCTGTTTTTACGGGCATGATTGTAGCACAAAACCTTTCCTTTTTACGTTTAACCCCCTTCTCCTCTCTCATTGCAGCTGGAACATCAGCTACAGTCTCTGAACTCAGAGCAGCTGGAGACCCGTGTACAGAACGAAAGGCTACGGCACCTGAATGAAAACCTACTGGAAGAGCTGGAGAAAAGCAAATGGGAGCTGGAGGCGGTGAAGGGGCAATTACAGAAGCTCCAAAAAGAGGCTCAGGTTGAGCAAGAGCAGAAGGACAGGTGGGAATGGGCAGGGAAGGGGGTGGCAGGGCAGGGACCCAGGCAGAGAAGGAAGAGTGGGCAAATAGCTAAAGAAAAAGGATCTCTAATTAGAAGCCTTGGTCTCATCAGAGGATTGCCTGTCTCTTCTTGAGGAAAAGTAATAACATCCTAGTGGTCTTATGGACCTAAACAGGGAGCGATACTGCTAGCTTCCACCTGCCTTTAGTGGGAAATGAATATGCTCATTGACATTTGGCTAGAAAAGCACTGTAAAAAATACAGATGTTCCTCAGCCTAAAGGAGGCTTCTCCTCTGTGTATTTTCCAGTTCACCATCGCCTCTATAAAGTTGCTACAGGTCCTCTTCTATTCACTTGTGTTCCTGTTTCTGGGCTTAGGCTAATAGTTCTTAGGTAAAACATTAGGCTGTTTCAGATCCAGATGGCAGTGAGCATCCTTCCCATCTCTAGCAGCTGAGGAGACTGAAGTGTGAAAGGAGAAAATGGGATGCCTGCCCTCGCGTTGAAGGAGAGTGGGAGAGCTGGGGTACAACCCATCCATCCTAGCTCCTCTGGCAGTGCTGCTTCCTCTGAATCATAGAATTGTAGAATGGTTTGGGTTGGAAGGGACCTTAAAGACTATTGAGTTCCAACCCCCACTAGACCAGGTTGTAGGTCCATGTGTCATAAAAAGCTATTTAGCATTTATTTTTCGAATGAAAAGTACAGCAATCTTATCTGCTGTGTGGGGGCACAGTAAAAAAAACCAACACTAAATGTAAAGTTTGCTGGAGTGAAACAAGGAGAAAGTTTTAAGGCAGAACATTTCTACTATAGGACATACCAGCTTCTGGTTTTGCAGGTGTTCTACCATATGCAGTTATCGTGCAAATTTAGTTATCCATAATCAATGAGGTACCAGATTTTGTATACTATAGAACCTTAATAATGGAATAGAAGTATAGTCAGATTCCCTGACTACAGAATTCACTACTGATATAATTTTTATTGTGGGGGGGAATCCTTCTAGCACAGGGCAGGCCTTTATGTTTGAGAATACCATGAGTGTCCCTGGGAAAGGGATCTTTGTATCCCATTAACTTATTTTCCCTTTTAAAATCCCCTTCACCCAGGGATGTGTTTAGAGTCTCCAAGAACATGCAGAAAGAGAAACAAAGCCTCCTTCGGCAGCTGGAGCTCCTCAGGTAAGAACAGGGCAGGGGCTGGAAATCCTGAACTCTTGTAAGAGACTGAGGCTCTCACAGAGCACTGTGCTCACTTCCCTCACAGGATGCAGTGGGAGCATATTCAGGCAGTGTCCAGACATTGCTTGTTTTTCCAGGTCCAGAGTTGTGTGATCTGTCAAGCTCTGGCAGAACACAGGCTGTGTTATATCACCAAGTAATCCCTCCACTGAAGGAATGTAGCCTTTCCTGCTGCTAAGGGGACCATGTGGAGCCCATTATCTGAGCTGAGATACATGGAAATCCCAACTTGTCTGGCAATAAATAGCATCTTTATCTATGTCCCAAGCTCCTTTTCTGTTCTAGCTTTCAAATGTTGGTTTTTACTCTGTTTTTGATGAATACTTCCTTGTGTCTCTCCTGTGTCTTCCTTTGGAGCAGAGAGATGAACAAGAAACTTCGAGATGAGCGAGACGCTTTTGAAGCCAAGAAGCTGGTTAGTCTAAGAAAGAAAATCCTAATTCCCAACCACCCTCCTTTCACCTGCTGCTGTTGCTGTCGCCACTCGGGGGCCTGTCACTTCCACGGGGGACAATGACCTGAGCTCACAAGGCCTGGTGTGGTACCTAATACAGACTTTGCAGCCCCTCTCTGCCCATGCCAGAGAGGAGCTCTGCTGGCTGCTGTTGCCAACTGCCCAGGTTTAACCCAAGGCGCGTTAGCCTGTGACTGTCACACAGCCCCGTGCAGGGTTGCAGCGGGTGCTCCCTGCTGCACACATGAAGGGGGTGTGTTGTGACAGGCACTGGGCACATGCAAGGAGGGGAATGAAGCTGGATGCATCCCTGGTGGTGAGGAAGAAGACAGATTCCCAGATGTGCTGCCCGCTGACTAGGGGTGGAGGGGCATGGGAAGGTTTTGGAGTTTCTCTGACCCCTTGAGTTTGTAGCAGATGTTTTCAGATGTTCCTCTGGGGCAGCTCCCCATTGCTGTGAACTCTGCTGGGGTGGAGGTATGGTAGTGAGCCTTGTGTCAGAGGGCTAGGAGAAAGAAGGGGGCCTCTGACATCTGGAACAGTCCATTCCATATCTGGCCTTTCCCAGTCTCCAAGATAAGTACAATATGTGACCTATTTTTAATTCATATTATTTTTTCGTGAAAAAGTCTTTGTGTTCCCAAATGTCACTGGCAAGGCTGCTCTGTGCTCTTCTTGGACCCATCCCTGCCACCATGTGTCTTTGCCTGCTCTGCCATCGTGCCCCACCTGAAGATCTGGAAGTGCCTGCCTTGCCACGAGGACAGGCAGTGGTAGGCTGTGAGAGACATTCTGGCTGGTGTGTAAATGGAAGCACAGGGATTGTGCCCAGATAGGGGACAAGATGCCCTGCGGGGGGAGAGGCTGGAGTTTTTCTCCAAGTGGAGCAGCAGCTGCCTAAAATAACTTCAGTAACTGTTGTGGATGGAGGCGAGGTGTGTGCCTTTGTGTATGTGTTTCTGAAATCTGAAAGAAGACTTTTTCTTTTTCTGCATTTTTAAAGCTGCTAAGTATGTGTGTGTACACCAGAGCTTCCTGCTCCCTCTTGGAGAAGTAATAAACAGTCACTCTGTAGCAGAGTCCAGTGCAAGTAGGCAAAGAGAATGGTTTGTTCTCCTCTTGCCATGCGTAGTGTTTCATCAGCTTCTGGGGCAGGTGGCCCATGGAGACCACACTTCAGGTATGTACCTCTGTGTGTGCAAAGCTTGTCCACTTCTCTCCTTTTCCCCAACTAGGACCTGCTCAGGGCTGCTCTGAAACGTGATGGTTGCAGGTGAACCTAGGAAAGAGCCTAGCAGAGAGAGTTGTAGTACAGAGGAGCCGCTTTCTCCCATCTCCCTGTGCTGATAGTAAGGATGGGGAGGTAAGGTCATCTCATCTGGCAAGGCTGCGTCATGCTGGGCAGATACAGCCCGTACCAGGGTAACATTTTTTCCTTTGTCAGCCAGGACATCTTGTTGGCCACTCTCGTTTTAGTCTGCAGGAAAGCAGGCTCCAGGGGATCGCAGAGATGCTGCTGTTGTCATAGACCTGCAGAAGATCTGCTGTCCAGCCTGTCCCACTGTAAAGGGGAGAGAAAATAGCAATACTTCCCTGCAGCAGCAAAAAGGAGAGTCCGGTCTTCTGATGGGGATCCCTAGTGTGTGTGACACTCTCTCTGCCAGAAACTGTCAATGCTTTTACAGTCTAAAAAGAAACCCAAGGCTTTAATGCCCTCTGTTAGTGCTAGGAAGGGTTATGTTATTTCTGTGAAATGAAGGTGTGATGAACAGTGATTCTTTCATAGCAAAGATTTTGAAGTGGTTGGAAGGAGGAGTTGGTCTGTATGTGGCTGATAGCAACCCAGCCACTGCTCCTTTGCACTTCTCAGTGCCCAGCTTAATACCTTGCTCTTCATAAGAGTTTCTGGCCTTGTCAGGGTAGGCCTGGCCCCATGGCACTGTGGGGCACTGTTTTGCCCCAGAGGCTAGGTCACAGATAGTGATGTGTGGCTATTTCTGCCTGTGTGTAAACCACTGCTGGGTGCTTTTAAAACCCAGGAGCTGTGGGTTCAGTTTCACACCCATGACCCATCTGGCTATGGAGTTACGCTTGCATGCTGTATGTCGACAGAGCAAATTTCACATCTGCTCATCATGAAGAGTGTTTTGGGACTTTGACTACATTGGACACGTATTTGTATTTCACTAATAAACCAGAATTTTTCCTATCCCGCTGATAAACCAGAATCTTTCCCATCCAAAATGCCTGCATGTGTTGTGGTGTTGTGGAATTCTTGCCATTGTGTGTTGTACAAGCTGTGATGTCGCATCTGTCCTTTTACAACCCCAGTGAAAAGCCAAATGTTACACAAACCTGGCAGGCCAATAAAGCATGGCAGAGCCAATGGCAAAACATGCCCCGTTGTTTCTCCTTTCTTACCCAGGTACGTACTCTCCAGGCTGTTTCCTCTCCAAGTAGGATGGTGCTGTAGCAGAGTGCATGGGAGTCCCTTTGCTCTGCAGGTGACTTGAAGGTTGCGACTCAGCTCTAGTGGGCTGGACCATGATTTCCTTGTTTCTGTGTGTCTAGAGAGTGCCCATGAGTGAGCCTGCTCAAACTCTGAAAACTTCCTTCTGTGTCCCCACTGGAGAACCACTAGTTGGCTGAACCACAGCCTGATATCCATGTTGACCTAAGGGTTGCTATGCACTTGAGGGTCTTTTGCCTTGGAAGATATGTTCTCCAGAGTTGTGAGCCATTCAGTGCTGGATATTTTTGTGGCTGGAGCTTCTCTTGTGCACCATTTTAAAATGTAAACAAATGTTTTGGTTTTTTTTTTTTTCCTTCTGTGTCCCCACTGGAGAACCACTAGTTGGCTGAACCACAGCCTGATATCCATGTTGACCTAAGGGTTGCTATGCACTTGAGGGTCTTTTGCCTTGGAAGATATGTTCTCCAGAGTTGTGAGCCATTCAGTGCTGGATATTTTTGTGGCTGGAGCTTCTCTTGTGCACCATTTTAAAAATTTTAACAAATGTTTTGGTTTTTTTTTTTTCTCCTCTCAAAGTTCCTAGTTGGGTGAGGTCCTCTGTGGAGTCCAGGGTGTCTTCTTTTGTTGGCCTGCATTGCAGTAAATGTGCCCTGAGAGTTCTGGCCGACAGAGCAGCTTCTTAATTTTTTACCTTTTCAAATAAGCCAGGGGTTATTGAAGAAATAATCTTCGTAGTCCTCCCCTGGGCTGTGGGCTGCATGAAGAAAAGCCTGTCCAGAGCTGCCTGCAGGTAGTTTGGTCAGTTCAAAACTACTGCCAGAGGCAGATCTGGCAGGCTGCAAACTTCCCCACCTTTACTCCTAGAAATAACTTGTGAGGACGTGTCAGAAATCTCCAGGCTTACAGAGTGAGTGCATCTCCCTTTCCTCCAGCCCAGAGGCGGTGGGCATGTTGCCACGCTGTCTCTCACTCTGCGTTTTCTGTGTAGCCAAATGAGTTAGCCAGTCTGTTTGGGGGACTAGGGTTTGGCATGGCATCTGGGGGGGCTGGCAGGTCAATCCCCTCTGCCACAGGCTTTCCTGCATGATCTCAGGCAAGTTGCTTATCTTTGACTCTGCTTGAGGATAACAAAGCTGCTGCATGGGGGGAAGAGGGTTGCAAGAGGAGTTGTCCTGCTTTCTTCTCTGGGGAGCTGGTGAGCACTGGCTGTAGGAAGTGTGTAGTCTGAGGTAAGTAGGAGGAAAGCATGGAGAGGGATGTTTGTAAGGCAGAGCATGTGCATTGCCCTTTGCAGAGCGATCTCCTCCCTTTCCTTTGGTGCATGTGCAGCTCTGGATGAGTACGGGTGCAGGAGGGGTGCTAGTGCTTTCTGAGGAAGGGGCAATTGGTCTGTCCCACAAAACATCAGCATAATAAAAAGGCAGGTGGGGAAAGAGAAATTCAGCTGTGAGAACAAGTGGAGAACAAGCCACAGAAATGAAAGTTCTGGATGGCTAGAGGGAGAATTCTATTTGGGGCACCACCATTTTTGATGTATTTTGTTGCAAAGGGGAAAGCAGCAACAGTGATGGCTTCTTTTGCATGAGTTAAATGATCTGAATTGAGGAAAGCAAGCCCTGTGCTCACCTCTGTTTAAGTCTGCCAGCGGGGCAGTACCACCACATGGTGTGGGGCTGCACGGGCTCCAGCCTTGCCTCCCCAAAGCAGTCTGTGGAGGTAGTAAGTGGTTGAACTGGGGCTGGTCAGGTTCCTGTCTCCTAATCGCATTCTTCATCCCTTCTCTTTTCAACTTCCAGGCACCTCAGAGCAAAAAGCCCCTGTTGAAGAAGGGGTCAGTGCTAGGCAGCTACCTGCTGGATGACAAGCCAGTCAAACGGTTAGATGGACATCTGTGTTGTGTTTGTGGTGTCAGTCTGTGCCCGCTGGAGTACCCTGTCAGTCAAGCTGTGTCCTGTGTCTAGTTCCCCCACCTTGGTGCTGGCTGGTTTGGGGAGAACGTTGGGGGTGCATCTCAACTGTGGCTCTAGTTGCCTCTTGGCATCAGGTGGTGAAGGTGAGGATGCTGGTAGCTAATTTCCACAGGGGAATGGCTCCCCTCTGGGCTGCTTCTAAATGCAGCAGAGGGAGCAAACCTAAATGCCATCAGAAGCTATGGGAGCGTTTATGGGATGGGAGTCACGAAGGCTGCCCCTGACCGAGTTGGACAGCTCCATTAAAATGAGTGGATCATCTCCCAAGTGTGCCAGTTCCTCCTCAGGCAGAAATCCTGTCCACTGGCTCCTCATGCCAGAGCCCATCTCCCTGGGGCATGGGAGAGGGCAGGAGTTGCACAAGGCTTGTGTTCTCTCTGGCAGCTGAAAGCCCCAAGCAGAGGGCCCAGCGCCAGGTGGGTTCATCCTGCCCATCTCCCTCCACACCTATGCAGATGTTCACCTGGCACACCAGGCCTCCTCTTGCACCAGGGCAGGTGAACCCGTCTGTGTGGCCAAGGCCTTTGTTGTTGTTTTTTCCCCCTCTCCATGCAGACTATGCAGTGGCTTCCATACCCACATACATCTGCTTCTCTGAACTCTGCTGGCATTAAGCATTGGCCCTTGTGAACTAGCTGTGTGACCAGCACACTGGTATTGGCCAAAAGCTGCTGCTTCTGAGTGGCAGGGGAGGCCAGCCCAGCCCTGATCTGGTTTGGAGCTGGATGTCCCCTGCAACTGCTGGCCCCAAACAGGTTTTAAAGGCAGCACGTTTCCCTGTTTCCTACCAGATTTCTGCAGGTTCCACTGCTTCCCAGGTTCTCCTGATGCCAACCAGAGACATAGGTCTAGGCTTAGTTTCTTCCAGCTTCAACTCGACCTTAGTGCTTGCAGTTCTGGTAGTGGCGTTTAAGAACTGAGCTTCAGGCTCATGGACTGGTGGAAAACCACACAAACCAGGGCTGGTTCTTGAGCCCTGGCTGGGAGGCTGGTTGGATAGGTCTGAGGCAGAGCTCTTTCATGGCTGTGTGACTGGCAGACATGCTATCCATGGGATCAGACACCCAATTTCTTCCATCCTCCTCCTCAGCTATTCTTGCAAAGATCCTGCTAGCTGCTGCTGGCATAAACCCACTGGAAAGCATTAACAGGTGGAGAAGTCTGGCAGTGAGGGTGATGTGAGAATGGGAGAAGTATTTGTTGGTCCTGTCCCAGTAATGTGTCGCAGCACATTGCTTGAGAAACATGAATAAAATCCATTAGATCTGGAGTCACTGTTCAGAAAGCTCTGTGCTTGTCCATTTTTTTTCCCCAAAAAAGGCTTTTGAGTCTCAGCCCCTCATTACTGTTACTCCTGCTAGCCCTGCGAGATGAGGACTGTTCCCCTGAGCCTGGAAGAATATGTCTGTTTTCCATGGGGAGAAGTTCCAGCTGGCCTAGCTCTGGGCTGGCATTTGGGGCAGGTACAGGGAGTGGATGTACAGGTGTGGATGCAGGCCAGAGCAGAGCCAAGACCACGTAAAGTGACCCTGGTGTGAGCATCTTCACTGCAATTTGCACACCTGTGGCAAGTTTCTGCTGCCTGAACTCAGTAAGACCCTGCTACAGCAACGTTTGGAAGTGATGGGCTTGTTTCCTGGAGCGGGGCTGTGTGCTTTCAGCAGAGGGCAGTCACATGTGTGCACACCACACCTGGACTCCCAAGGACGGTCAGCCAGCCCTTGCCCCACTGCCTGCCCTCAAAACCCTTTTCACTTAACCTTGAAACCTTTGTTACTCCTTTTTTGTTGTATTCGGTAATAAAAATGGAGGAGGGGTTGTTAAATATTTTTTTTAATATATATTTTTTCCTGTTGCCATCTTTGTATGCTTTGCCTCATTTCTCAGTACTGGGGGAAGTGGGAGGCTAAGAATCCTTGACAAATCTAGAAGGTGGGAATTTTTATGAAAATTAATGAAATATATGTCGGCACATATGAGTACAGCATAGCTCAGGTGAGCTGTCCCTTTCCCTAGAGGTGCCTCTGATGCCTTAGTCACAGGGAGCGTGGGGAGCGTATGTATGAAGCAGAGTTCCTGCAAGCATTACATACGCGCTAATTGGATCTCACTGGTGTTTCGGGAATTTGCAATCTCCTCCTCTCTCTCTTCCCTTCCCTCCCCTATTCCCCATCGTGTTATGTCCGTCCTCCCCCCGCCTTCCCCCCCCCCAAATTGTGGTGCCGGTGGGCTTTAATACAGACAACTGGCCTCTGCGGACCTTCCCTTCACCTTCCCCGTGGACACGGCAGTGGAAGAACCCAACAAAAAGAGCTGTAAATACTTCCCAGGCAACGGGACATGGCTGAAGACAGGAGAGGGAGGCAGCACAAACTTTGGAGAGAAGAGCGGAGACAAGGATAGATGGTCATTGTCAGCAGATGCTGAGTGGTTGAGGACAACCTTGAAGGGTGATGCTGACTGTAGAAAAAATGCAGATGGATTAGATGATGCTCCATTGCCTCCTAGAGGACAGCCTGTTGGCACCGAAACCAGGGTGAGTGCAATTACTTGGGGTTCTTCCTGAGACATCTGCTACCAGGTACTTGAGGGTTTCTGACTCTCTTCCCCTCTAACTCCAGCACCATATAGTGCAGGGGTCCAATGCCTAAATCAAAGCACAGTCTGCAGCCGGGCTTTTCAAAACAGCTTCCCTTTCTTCCATTGTAGCTCCAGGCACTGGAACCAGCCAGCTGTTCCCCAGACCGCATCTTTAAAGTAGTGTTTGTGGGGAACTCTGGTGTTGGGAAGAGTTCCTTCATCCACCGCTTCTGCTATGACAGGTTTTTGGCTGAACTCAATGCAACCATCGGTAAGTAATAGTGTTTCTGGCTAAAAAGGGTGAGAGAGTCAGCCTGGACACATGCTTTTTGTCAGTGTTTTAGCCCAACTAAAGTTAAAGGTGGTCCCTCACCCAATTTCAAATCAAGCTTGCAATTTCCCTGAACTAAATAATGTTGATCTTGGCCATTGGCCTTGCAATGACAAGTTGCTCTCTCTCTTTGTCCCATCTTACAATCATTGTTACCTTCCTGACAGGTATTGATTACCAGGTGAAGAGTCTGATGGTGGATAACACCCAGGTTGCCTTACAGCTGTGGGATACAGCTGGACAAGAAAGGTAAGCAATTTCTGTGAGGATGCCCTACTGCCAGGCTCAGCGTAGAAAACAGGAGGAAAAGGAAAGAGTGCACGCACCTGGTTTCTGTCTCTGGGAAAGTTGGTAGCTTCAGAAGGACCAGAGAGATGACATCAGCTATTCCAGTGTTGAACCTGCAGCAACGGTCTGTTTTGGAAATTTCTAGAAGCTGTGGCTGTGAAGCAGGGCCCAGGGAGATCACTCTGAGGACTGATGGAAAAGTAGTTTTCCATATGTCTGACCTGCATGCTCGTGGCCTCAGGTAGTCTACCCATAAATCACTGTGGGGTTTGAAGCTTCTCCAGCCCTCAAAGCTCTTCTGCATCAGCCTGCTTCTGGGAAAAACTGCGGGGAAGGGCTGCAGATTAGGACAGAAACAAAGGCTCTGGATAGACATCCCCAGCTGCTCACCATCACTTGCTCTTCAGAGGGTAGAAAGGAGTGTGTGAACCTTTCCAGATCTGATTCAGACGGAGCCAGCCGAATAAGCTTCATCTGTGGGGAAGGTGATTTGAACTATCCTGCTGGACTCTTGTCAGTGAGGTTATTGGCCCCTTCCACTGTCCCTTCTGCTGATGGACTTGTGGAAGTGATAACCCTTGGGAGAGGATTAGCTTTTTGTGTAGCTTTTTGCGACAGTGAGTACATGTTCTCCATTTGAAGGCCTCTAGTTTCAAAAGCATGGGCCATCACTAGATGTTACCAACACTGTTAGTGAGGATCAGAGTAGTAGAGGACACACTTGATCCTCATCTGCTACTAGAGATGTAGGCCCACCACTAACAATGTAAATTAGACTTTATTTAGGATGCACTTTGAAGCTGAAGATGAAAAGCTATTTCAAGGGGGCCGTTAACCTCAAGAGTCTGGCAAACAGAAGTACCGGGTATTTGGGGCTAAATATGCTGTGGGGGCAGGGCTTCAGGAGGCAGCTGAGGTCATGGGAATATTATAATCCTGAGCTGTGCCAACAGAGTAATGATGCTGTTTACCTCCGTCAGTTAGACCATGCAGACCTGGTGAGAAAGTACTAAGTAGGAGTATCTCTTGAAAAGCAAAGTATTTCTTCCAAAATCAAGCTTCCTGCTGAAGAAAGAATGATTTTTGAGGGGATTCCTGTGCTTATTTCAGTGCTGAAGCTGAGCAGTAAGGGGAGTTGTTAGGGCATGAAGTGTGATATTTTACTGTGACCAGATTGCATCAGAGGCCAAAATCAAGATATCGTCTCTGCAGAAGGACCTTTAGGATAGGCCCCTGCAGCCTTAGCAGGTTTTAGACATCTACTTGCAAGAGAAAGCTTGGCTCAATGCTGATACTGAGTAGGAGACTTAGGAAGAAACAAAAGTTTTTCTTACTTCTAGAGAAATACTAATTACTTCTAACTGGAGGTGTCCATCTATGACTATCCTATGGAAGAGACAGAGAAAACCCATGGAGCATGCAAGAACTCCTTGGTGACTTCCCTGAGACCTGCGCACACTACCTTTGGTGTTCCTTCTGGAGCATCTAGCCTGTCCTGTTGTTCCAGAGGTGCACCTTGACTGCCAAAGATAGAATCTGTGCTTTCTCAGTTGGGTAGTTTCTAGAATGTCATGCCCTTATTGTAGTGAGTAAGAACTGGCTTCAGGCAATTATGTGAAGAGTTCAGGAGGGTTACTACTTGCTGTAGGTTTTCTTGGTTCTTAATAGAATAGGAGAGCTTGTTATCCTGTGCAGGGCCAAAATACACAGCTGTCCAGTGAGATCTCAGTACTTGTGTTGCTTTTAATTCCATCAGTTTGCAATCAGCGTGGTTATATCATAGCCCTGTCACAAACTGGTTACAGATTTTAAGGTTTGGATTTCTTTTTTGTTGGAATTTATTCCCAAAATACAAGTCTGTGGTTCTAACTGGTACCCACAAGACAAAGTAGATGTCTGGTGGGAGTCTCTCCTGGTAATTGTGTCTAACTGATGATTTTTATGTATGATGGCATTGCTTTGTAGATTCAAAACTGATTGTACTGATGCTGAGATCTTAATTGCTGTTTTGGCAGCACTGGGGCAGACATTACGCATGCCTAGTTCATACTGTGGTACAGCTTAGTCTGCAGATTCTTCTGGGCTCTGGAGAAAAGATCATGTTCTTTCCATCCGTTTCCCTTTTCATAGGCAATTACCTTTTCCTGTCCCACCTAAACAGATTCTTCTGTTTCTTTCTTTCTGACCTGCAAAGGTCTTCCTTCCTGCTTTCTCAGCACCGTGTGTTTGGAAAGACTCCTGCTGACCCATGGCTGCTGGCCTGCTCTCAAAGGTGCAAGGATCTGACCTGCCTGTCACCAGTCTGTTCACACCAGCCCCAGGGGACACCTCTCACACGCAGGGGCTGCCAGGCCTTGCAGAGAGCCTGCACTCAAAGACAGCTAATCCCATTCTGTTTCTTGTCATTACACAGCCGTGGTTCTGAGAGTGCCTTTGGTTTCATTTGGGCTCAGGTTTCGGAGCATTACCAAGCAGTATTTCCGGAAGGCGGATGGGATTCTGGTGATGTACGACATTACAGCCGAGTGCTCCTTCACGGCTGTGCGGAACTGGATGAGCAGTGTCCAGGTGAGAGCAGGGATTCAGCTCTCTCGTGCTGGTGGGGCTGCCACTGCCTTGCTCCAGACCAGCTCCCACAGTCTGCCTGGGAGCGACGTTCTCCGATGCTCCAGGAGGTCCTATTGACCATGGGAAGATCAAAGCAGATGCTATGGGTACTGTCTGTGGTAGTCAGTTTGGGACCAGAGGCTTCTTGTTGAAGATACCAAAGCCAGTGGTAGCCCATTAAACGAGGGAGGGCTGTTTCTATGCAGAAAGTGGTGGGACCTGCCAAAACAGGAGCTTGTGTTTGTAAGCACCCCGTGTACATTGGCAATGCCTCCTAAACGTGGTCACATCACACCTGTGCTCAGGCAAGGGGATCTGGTGTGCAGCCTAGACACAGGAGAGGGAGGCAGCCCTGGTATATTTAGACTGAGACCTGCAGCATGCACACACAGCGCTTCGCACCATCACATCCTGACTCTGCTTTGAGATTTCTAGGTGAGACCGTAATATTAGTAATAGCTTATTTTTTTTCCTCATTTGCTTCAACAGTTATGGGGTTTTTTTTAGTTTTTATTTTGTAACCATGTAGTAATACTCTAGTCTGCCCCCCTGATATTTATTTCCAAACTCTCAATAAAAGCTTAATCTGTGGCTTGTATCTGCTAGCGGAGACAAAAATACCTGTCTGTATAATTGAAATAAATTGTGTGTAGGTGACTCAGAGCAGAAGGGGAATTGACAAGTGTGGGTTTGTTTTGATTGTGCTGAGTCTCAAAACCCAAGATCTAAGTGAAATGGTAAGTATAGGTTGGAAGTTTCTAATATTATTAACTTCCACAAGCCTGTTGGTGTGGGGGGGAAACCCTAACCACTTAGCTATATCTTTGGACTCCAAAAGATCAAAGGTTAAGATTTTCAAAACTAACTAGCCTCTGAAAATAAGGCTCCTTTCAGGAAGGTTAAACTGAGCACATGGAAAATCAAAGCATCTGCAATCTGTAACTTTTAGTAATCTCTCTTCTTTTCCTTTCCCATCTTAGTATTTATCTTGCTGTGAAGCTGTTCAGGTACAGTAAGTCATCCAGGGCAGTCACATTTGGAAATAACTTGGAGCCCCATTCTGCAGTCTTCTCTAGTGATGTTCTGGTGACCCAGTGGACCTAGAGGGGGTTTTACCAAAGGCAATGGGCTCCAGGTATCACCTGGGAGTAACAATTCCTACAGAGACCCTATACAAGGGTATAAAAGTTGCTTAGTTTGCTTGGCTAGTGGATTTTCAGCGAGGGATGGTTGAGTTTAGGACAGCACATATGATCTCAAAACCCAAGATCTAAGTGAAATGGTAAGTATAGGTTGGAAGTTTCTAATATTATTAACTTCCACAAGCCTGTTGGTGGGGGGGGGAAACCCTAACCACTTAGCTATTTCTTTGGACTCCAAAAGATCAAAGGTTAAGATTTTCAAAACTAACTAGCCTCTGAAAATAAGGCTCCTTTCAGGAAGGTTAAACTGAGCACATGGAAAATCAAAGCATCTGCAATCTGTAACTTTTAGTAATCTCTCTTCTTTTCCTTTCCCATCTTAGTATTTATCTTGCTGTGAAGCTGTTCAGGTACAGTAAGTCATCCAGGGCAGTCACATTTGGAAATAACTTGGAGCCCCATTCTGCAGTCTTCTCTAGTGATGTTCTGGTGACCCAGTGGACCTAGAGGGGGTTTTACCAAAGGCAATGGGCTCCAGGTATCACCTGGGAGTAACAATTCCTACAGAGACCCTATACAAGGGTATAAAAGTTGCTTAGTTTGCTTGGCTAGTGGATTTTCAGCCAGGGATGGCTGAGTTTAGGACAGCATATATGACGAATAGTACACACAAAAATTATTGAACTTAATTAGAAGCTCTGCCTGAACTTCAATTCCCAACAGCCTATGGGGCAAACTGTTTTTCTTTAGGCTCTTCAGCTCTTCCCAGAGCAGAACTTTTAGTCCTGTCCCTGCTTTGTCAGCATCCCAGCTGTACATACCAAATATATGAAATGCATTCCTGCAGTTTAAGCTTCCTTCCACAAATCCCTGGGGCTATTTGAGGAATGGCCCTTTAATCAGCTAAAGGGCCTGATCCTGCTGCCACTGTGGGTCTGTGTGCATGAGCTGGAACAGGATCTGCTCCGAAATATTTCCCTTCCTCAGCTGGGTCTCTAGGGTGCTTTACTCTGTTTCTTTTGCAGGAAGGTATCGAGGATGGAGCTGTGGTCTTTCTTCTTGGAAATAAAACGGATGCTGCGCAGAGAGAGACCCGGAATGTGCCGAAGGTGGAGGGGGAAAGACTGGCAAAGGTGTGACTCTGGGCTCTGCTGCTCGACCTGCTCTGCAGCTTCCCTCCAGCAGTGAGCGGGGCAGCCTGACTGGCAGGATGCCCTTCTTGGGGCCATTTCCCAGTATGGTACCTTCCCTCTCCCCTTTCCCATCTTAGTATTTATCTTGCTGTGAAGCTGTTCAGGTACAGTAAGTCATCCAGGGCAGTCACATTTGGAAATAACTTGGAGCCCCATTCTGCAGTCTTCTCTAGTGATGTTCTGGTGACCCAGTGGACCTAGAGGGGGTTTTACCAAAGGCAATGGGCTCCAGGTATCACCTGGGAGTAACAATTCCTACAGAGACCCTATACAAGGGTATAAAAGTTGCTTAGTTTGCTTGGCTAGTGGATTTTCAGCCAGGGATGGCTGAGTTTAGGACAGCATATATGACGAATAGTACACACAAAAATTATTGAACTTAATTAGAAGCTCTGCCTGAACTTCAATTCCCAACAGCCTATGGGGCAAACTGTTTTTCTTTAGGCTCTTCAGCTCTTCCCAGAGCAGAACTTTTAGTCCTGTCCCTGCTTTGTCAGCATCCCAGCTGTACATACCAAATATATGAAATGCATTCCTGCAGTTTAAGCTTCCTTCCACAAATCCCTGGGGCTATTTGAGGAATGGCCCTTTAATCAGCTAAAGGGCCTGATCCTGCTGCCACTGTGGGTCTGTGTGCATGAGCTGGAACAGGATCTGCTCCGAAATATTTCCCTTCCTCAGCTGGGTCTCTAGGGTGCTTTACTCTGTTTCTTTTGCAGGAAGGTATCGAGGATGGAGCTGTGGTCTTTCTTCTTGGAAATAAAACGGATGCTGCGCAGAGAGAGACCCGGAATGTGCCGAAGGTGGAGGGGGAAAGACTGGCAAAGGTGTGACTCTGGGCTCTGCTGCTCGACCTGCTCTGCAGCTTCCCTCCAGCAGTGAGCGGGGCAGCCTGACTGGCAGGATGCCCTTCTTGGGGCCATTTCCCAGTATGGTACCTTCCCTCTCCCCTTGGCCCTGCCCTGTTTCTCCAATGCAAACGTGTGCCGAGGTCCCTCTGGTACCGTTACTCTGTTTCTTTTGCAGGAGGGTATCGAGGATGGAGCTGTGGTCTTTCTTCTTGGAAATAAAATGGATGCTGCGCAGAGAGAGATGCGGAATGTGCCAAAGGTGGAGGGGGAAAGGCTGGCAAAGGTCTGACTCTGGGCTCTGCTGCTCGACCTGCTCTGCAGCTTCCCTCCAGCAGTGAGCGGGGCAGCCTGACTGGCAGGATGCCCTTCTTGGGGCCATTTCCCAGTATGGTACCTTCCCTCTCCCCTTGGCCCTGCCCTGTTTCTCCAATGCAAACGTGTGCCGAGGTCCCTCTGGTACCAGGGAGGATGAGATGGTGGCCAGCACATGGCAGACAATGGTCCTTGAGGCATGCTCATGTTCTTGAGGCTTAATGCCTCCCTACAGTGATGCCCAGTGTTTCCGAGGGGAGCGTGGATGGTTGTTTTCCCATTTGAGGACTCCTCTAATGCATGCTCTGTAAAATCACCCTGCCTCCTTCCGCACTCCCTGCATCTGCATGCCCACTGGTACCTCAGACCCTGGGTGGGGGGAGGCAGGACGGTTCAGGGTTCGGTTCAGGCTCAGGGCAAGCAGTTCAGAGATGTTCCCCACCTTCTGGACTCTGCAGCACAAAGGTAAAGGAACCCAAGTACCCTGTGGAGATGTTTTCCCATATAACTCCCACAGTGTTCCATCTGGACACTCCGGCTGGGACCCCAAATGCATCTCCTTTTCCTGGGTTGGTGAGCAGGGTGTGTGACCCAGCAGGGTGGCCCCAACTGCTCTCTGCAGTGTTCCCAGCGGTGAGGGTGGGCCAGCCCCCAGGGGTGTGGGTGAATGGTGGGGGAGAGCTGGCAGCCAACATGGGTGCTTGCTGTGCTCTCTGGCAGGAATACAAGGCTGTCTTCTACGAGTGCAGCGCGATGACTGGCTATAACATCATGGAGCCCATGCTGCACATGGCCAGGTCAGTGAACAGGAGCAGTCACCCTGGGATATCTCCCCAGCTGTAGGTTACTGGTGTGGGCTGCCCCAGGGAACGGCAAAGAAGAGGGGTCTGTTAGAGACTGACTTTCTGCCATGTGACAAAAAAGACCTGGAGCGATATGCTCTTCCCCCTGACTCCAGGTCCTTGTCTTCTGTGCCTGGAGAGCACCAGGCGTGGACTGGACATTATTGCATGCAAAGCTTCATCTGGCAGAGCTGGCTGTTGAAAGACTAGGAGTTTAATTTGAATATTTCATCACGAAAACGTTGTGTATTATCCCAGATTTTAAGTTTGCATTTTCAGTTTGACGTCTGCATGCATCTCTGAGGGTTTTTAATTCCTTATCTTATTAAGCATTATATAGAATGTGACATTTTGGTGGCAAAGGGAGATAAGACACTGTAAGCCTGAAAGAAGTTTGCCTTAAGATTTTTAGTTTTTTAAAACAGGAAGTAGTTTTGAAAAAAGTGTTTGAAATCTTGCAAGAAAAATACCCTTGCGTTTTCTTTTATCCCTTCACCTCCTGCTGCATCATCTCTGTTAAATTCACAGCAGACTTAGGTTTCCATTAACTGGGATGGTTTTCTTTCTAGCTAGGTAAATCTTGTCTCCCATAGCACGTGCTATTCAGCGTGCTTTATTACCATGCTGCTGCCTGAGAAGGCCCAGGCAGGTGAGGCAAACAGCCCGGGATCCTGCCATCAGTGAGGGAGCTTGGGAATAAGACACAGACCACTCACATCCAGGTCTAGTGCTCTGACTAGTAACCCATGCTCAGTTTGTATGTGCTCAGTTTCTTTCCCTGTTCCCTGGAAATTAATGCTCATTCTCTGCGTGTGGCTTATTTAGCCCAGCTTTCAGGGAAGCCTGGCCTTTGGGCCAGTCCCTTTTTACAATCCTAAATTTCCCTGGCTGATGGGGAGCAATGGGCAGAGTCAAATGCCTTGGGCAGGAAGATCACAGTAACCAGGTTGTGTTCTTGATCTGTGCTGCTTGTTCCAGGTTGCTGACAGCACAAGAAGACAGACAGAGGGAGAATGCCCTGCAGCTGGACGATGTCAGCAGGAGGAAAGGGTGCTGCACATAGGGCACATCAATGTGTCAGCAAGAGACATGGTGCCAACGCTGTTTCATGAAGCTGGGGTTCCTTTTGAGCAAGCCGAATCTGATGGTATCAGCTCTGCAGAGACTTGGGGAAGCTGCAGCTTTTCCCCAGCAGGGAATTTCAAGGCACTAAATCAGGCCAAAATGTGTGTATCATCTGTACTGTTCCATCTCCCAACTCTGCACGCAGCCCTGCTCGCTAGAGGCCTCTGCTTCTTTGGGGGAACTCAGATGGTCTTGGCTAATAGCACAAACTGGGCCTTCTGTCTGCAGAGGATAAAGTTTTGTTCCTTTTCTTTTTGGCAAAGAAGTAACACAGTGGGTCCTGTGTTAAATTGAATTTTAGTGTAAGAGATAAAGAAATTATTTTTAGTTTGGGCTAGCTCTAGGTAGTGATCCATTTGGCTCAAAAAGCAACATCTCTTCTTAGTTCTGTAGCAGCAGAGCCCAGCTGAAAGCCTGCTTCGGGCAGCAGGAAAACCTCCTTCAGTTCCTGTAAGATCTGGATCGGGCCCTGTATTTACTGCAAGATTTGGCTTGACTTGCCAATATTGTAGGTAACTGATTCCATATGTGGATATAGTATGTATTGATAAAACGAGTCATCCCAACGGCTTTCTTCCCTTTGTTACCCTAATGGACCTTGTCACTGTCCCTCTCTTACTGTTTACAGAACACGGAGCAGTTGCCCAGGGACTCGCAGGGGCTGGCACGTGCTGCTGATTCATAGCCCCTTGCAGGAGCTGTGCTGTGCACAGTAGGGCAGCCATATATAGCCTGTTCTAAGGCTGAACGCTGCCTGTTTCCTCCCATTCTCTTATCCTTTCCTGAAGAACCTCCAGCAACTAGGAACAGACTTATCTGCAGTACTGAAAGATCCTGCCCTGCCAGCTTGACCGTGGTGCTTTCAAATGGACCTGGGCTGGAAGCACAAGGACTGTGTGAAACCTACCTAGTGAAGCTTTTTCTCTTGCAGTGACCCTGTGCAATAAATTCACTTTCCTGGTGAAGGGCCTAAGAAGGAGCAGGACTGAATCTATTCCTGTTGGGCAGGGCCCTTCTTGTCACTAAGGATTCGGGCAAAGCAGGGTGAGGGGATGGACGGGCTGGGTAGGAACTGGCCCCAAAAGTGGACCTCTCAGCATAGCTGCCTCTGTGCCCGGGCACGAAACCCCTGGTGTTCCCTGGAGTGTGATGCTTTCTGTTTTGTAGCTCAGTTGCTCTTAAAGCCTTGTGGGACTAAGTAAGCTTTTTTGGTAATGCCCTGTTCCCTTTCTTCTTTAAGCCTATTTCTGTGTGTGACTTCAGGATTTTAGGAGAAAGGTGTGATACGCCAGTTGTGACGCAGTCCCTCCGGCCTTGTAGCTTAGGGAGAGCCTATATTTATCTACTGTCTTTCCTCTCTTGGGATAAGGCAATTACTCTGAATGTCTGTTTATTGTACAAGTTTCTCTGGGAATATCCCGTGCAAGAAAAAGTATTCTGAGTCATCACTGTTACAAAGAATTTCCATGGTTCCTCCCAGTGCCCTTTACTCCTGATAGGAAAGAGGAAGTTTTTCCCTGGAAGCGCAGGATTCCTGACTAAAAGAAATAGCTAAAAGTAATAAGCTCCTGTTTGATCCTTACTGCTGGCTGGCTGTGGTTCATGCTGTGTGTTATTGCAGTAATGCCTTCCAGAGTCTGGGAAGCAGAAAATTTGAAAAGGTCCAGAAGGAACCGGAGGTGCTGGTGTGGAGTCTAGGGTAACACCACCAGCACTGCTGGTGGAAGTGCTCCTGTTTGCAAGAAATGATTTTTGGGAAGGGAAATCCTCTCTGTTTTCAGAAAGCACCTGTGATCTGAACACAAATGTGGCTTTCTGGCCAATGTGGGCATGAAGGAGCACTGATATTATCTCCTGCTGAATAGGTCAAACCCACTACCTGAGTTGGAGCATGATCAGAGGAATCAGCTCCCCCACTTGCAGGTTAATAAGGAGTGGGGCTGACTAAGAACTGGCATCTTTAGTTGGGGCAGATCGGTTAATGCTAACATTTACTTACCTGCAGCAGCAGGATTGGGGAAGTTCCTACAGAAGGAAGAAAGCTGTAGCCAGTTTGCTAACATGATCTGAGTGCACACCTCCAACACTGTGTGCAGAGGACATGAAAGACCAAGGTGTGAAATACAGCTGACACACAAATAGGGGCTAATGTATATATTACCTTTACCAGTGTTGTCATATTGCAATGGCAAGAACTACCACGTGGGTGTTCTTAATGTACAACCTTAAGCATGTTCTCTTAGTGCACAAGCAGAGTACAGGCAATAAAGAAATGCTGTCTTAGAAATGGTTGTGCTGAGAGATTTTTTCCAGATGCTGCACGAGATTCAACCTCCCTTCTTCAGTCACTGATTGTAGCGTGACCTCCCCTTCTCTCTGCTCAGGAAATGCTGAGAAGCTTGTCCCCCATGGTGGTACAAACAGGAGGTTTATAAGTAGGGAGAGAGTTGATCGGGAACCCATGTCTTGGAGGCAGCACAGGAGCAATTCATCTCCACTCTGATTTTTTTTTTTTTTTTTTTAAATCTCTTTCAAACAGCTGGAGTCCAGCTGATCAGGGAAGGCAGAGCAGGGAGGAGAAAAAGGGGAGACGCTTCCCCAGTATCTGGGGGCAGTATAGTGCTTTCAGAGAGGCCACATTCCCACCTTGTACCTGTATCTATACAGCTCAACATTTATTTTAATAACGTCCCATGCATTCTTTTCACAGGAGTTAAGAATTCAGTTAGAATTCAGTTGCTTTTAATCCTTGTGCCCTGGCATGGTTCCAGCTGAATGTTTGTGCATTACAGAACTAATCTCTCTGCCGCTTTTACCAAAGAAATTATTACTCATTTCCCCTGCTATAAATTGATAGCGGGAACAGAACAGACTTTTGTTTCAACCATGACAAAGTGACACAGTTTGAGCTGGTTACACTTGGACAACAGTAAGCGCTGGGGTGGGTTTTGTTACTGGATGGTCTTTTGTTGTCTCTGGAAAATATTTAAATGTCCTGTTGGAAGACCCAGACATGTACAGCCTCGAGGGGCATTTTGTTAGTTTTTAAACCTGTCTGATACCAGACCCAAACTAGACCAGACTTTCCACAAAATTCCTAATTTTACTACCCCTCCCTGTTTTTGTCAGAAGTTCTCCTGACTCTGACTGGAAGCCCTGGGAGCAGCCACCTTTTGCAAGTGACTGCTGGAAACTGCGGCGTAAATCAAAAGCAAATAATGGGGATATCCTGAGGTGGCATGGGACGAGGGAGGATGCAAGATAGACTCTGCCTGGAGGCTTATTCCTGAGCTGTGTTGGCTGCTGTCTCTTAGTGGACAGGTGACTTTTTGCACATAATCTGCCAGGTATTTTGTAATCATATCAGAAGAAAGTACTCCTCTTAGAGCCTGGGAAGCCTTATGCTCGCACATGCCACGGTGCAGCTGTGTATACAATCAGATCTAGGGGCAAAGGCAAAAAAAACAGCTGCTCTGGTAAGTGGCCACAGTCCCACAAAGCCCTGCACGCAGGCAAAGGGACCCCACTCTGCCTTGCGTTTCATGTGTCTTGCTCATATTAATATGCTAAGGATAAGCATAACAGGATTAGTGTGACAGCATCTCTTTGAAAAGCCAAAACAGGGCTGAAGAGAGAGCATTAAGGCACAGTGTTAACTTTAAAGCTTTCCCACAGGACAAATGCAGGAATTGCAAAGGTTTGGGATGGTTTTTCTTCTACCTTCTCTATTGCAGCAGCCTGAACTCCAGGACAGTTTAAATTTACAAACATCTAATCAGTTCCTGCTATATAGGGGGTCATGCAGTCTCTCACACATTTTCTGTCCTGTCACCTTCTCCTGTTTGTGTCTCTTCGTGCTCTTTCTACTTGTTAATTGCTTAGTCCATATATATGTATTGATCAGGTGCTTAAGCTACAAGTATAAACATATCTCATAGCTCATGCTTTACACCTTTAAATGCTCTGTTTGGAAATCTGCTCAGATAAATCTACAGTCCTGCAGTTCAGAGGTTCCTTTGAGCTGCTGTCAGTCTGCTCGTTACTTATCTGGCTGTGTACAACTCACATGGAAATTTCAGCTGGCGCAGCTACAATAATCTGGCTCCAGACTCTTCAGGCCTGCAAGGCATGCTTTATACACTTATCAAGCCATGCGGTTTAATAAGGCCCTGATTCTGCAAACACAAGTGTAGCTGTGCACTTCTTCTGAAATGACTAGTCCACTGGAGACCTCACCAGGTAAAACTGGTTAGTTTTTTTTTCAAGGTAAACATGTTTCTCCAGTAAACACATATTACTCCAGTAATAAACTGGGGACTGGGAGGTGGGGGGGCCTGTAGTATATCTCACCTTTACCTGCAGGCTTTCACAAGCACACGACTGCTGTGCAGGCAGCCGTTGTGCCTAATCATACCCATTTGCTGACCCGAATCTGCCAAGGGGGAGGTTATGTTCTTTCCTGTTTGTACATGAAATCTCTGGACGTGGCAAGAAGGCAGTGGCCCAATGCAGCAGGGTAGGGCTGACGTCTCTTGTGGCCTGCTGGCTCTGTCCTGCCCTCTCTGCAAGAAACCTCTCAATGTGTAAGTGTGAGCTGGTCCCTTGTTTAATCACTGGGCTCTCCAGCGGCTCTAAGCTGAAGCCTGGGTAGGATCCCCATGGGCTGAGGAGAGGGAGGTTGGGTTTCTCATTGGGAAGGATGACCTGATTTTTTGAGTTGGGCACATGGGCAGGAGAGGCTGTGTCATAGTCGAGGCAAACACCCAGGAGGTCCTAAACTAGCCTTTTCCCTCCCTCCCTGTTCAGATCTCTGCTGCATCAAAAGAATTGTGGCCAGCGGGTCCAGGGAGGTGATTCTGTCCCTTTGCTCTGCTCTGGCGAGACTCCACCTGGAGTGCTGTGTGCAGCTCTGGAGCCCTCAGCACAAGAAGGACGTGGACCTGTTGGAGCAGGTCCAGAGGAAGGCCATGAAGATGATTAGAGGACTGGGGAACCTCTCCTGTGAAGACAGACAGAGAGTTGGGGCTGTTCAGCCTGGGAAAGGCTCCGGGGAGACCTTCTTGCAGCCTTTCAGCACTTGAAGGGGGCTTATAAGAAAAATGAGGATAGACTTTTTAGCAGGGCCTGTTGCGATAGGACAAGGATTAATGATTTTAAACTGAAAAAGGGTAGATTCAGACTAGATACAAGGAAAAAAATTTTTACAGTGAGGATGGTGAAACACTGGAAGAGGTTGCCCTTCCATCCCTGGTCCAAAGTCAAGTTGGATCGGGCTTCAAGCAACCTGCTCTAGTTGAAGATGTCCCTGCTCATTGCAGAGGGGTTGGACTACATGTCCTTTAAGGGTCCCTTCCAACCCAAACTATTCTATGATTCAGTGATCTCCTTTCTTCCCACCCAACCTAAAAAACTGTGCAGCTGCTGAGGGAATAGGGTGAGGGTCTTTCTTTCCTCTGAGACCAGCTGGGGGGGGGCTGTTGCTGAGGGCAGAGGCATTTGGGCTGAAGCTGAAATGAGGTAATGGAAGGATGAGGCGGTGTGCCAGTTGGGGCTTGATCTTGATTTACGGGACGTTTCATGGAAAACTCTTTAACAAGCAGATCTGACACCTTAAACCAAAAAAAAAAAAAAACCACCAAAAGAAAGCAGCTCCAGCAAGCAGCAGTGGCTCGAGTTTGCTGTAAGGTGTTCCCTGCGGCCATGGACAGGGGTGGCGAGGGCCAGGGGGTCCGTCCCAGCTACCAGAGGCCCGGCGTGCCAGCCCCGCACAGCACCGGCACGGCCGAGCCCCCAGACCCCCACAGCGCCGGGTTTGGGGGCGTTTGGTCTGGCGGGGGGCGGAAAGGGCCGGGCCGGGCAGCGCGGGAGGGCCCGGCTGCCGGGGGGAGGCGCCCCCCGAGGAGGCACCGCCCCGGCCCCCGCGGGGCGTCCCGGGCTGGGCTGGGCTGGGCTGGGTTGGCCGCGCCGCCCTCCCTCTGTGGGCGCCTTCCCTCCCTCACAGCGCGGCAGGTCGGGGCGTGAGGCGGCGCGGAGCGCTCCGGTCCGGCGTGGCTCGCTGCGGAGGGGTGAGGCGGGGCGCCCCCGAAATGGCGGCCGCCCGGGGAGGGAGGGAGGGAAGGAAGGAAGGCGGGCGGGTCGCCCCGCGGCCGTTTGGAAGCCGCCCGGCGGGGGAGCGGGGTGGGAGCGGGCCGGGGGTGGCGTGGGGAGGCCGGGAGGGCGGCGGGGGCTGCCTGCGGCGGGCCCTGACAGCCCGGCCTGTGTGGCGCTCCCTCCCGGGCCGGGTCCTGAGGTGGCCCGTCCGTACCTGGCGGCGGCCGCCGTAAGCCAGCTCTGTTGCGGCACCGCCTCGCTGCCCCGTCAGCAGCCACTGGCACCCTGCAACTTCACGGGGGCTTGGCTTTTGCATTGTTATTTTTTTTTAAAAAGTGTTTTAACCTGTTGCGGGGCCGTGTGGGGGTGTGTTCTGAAGCTTTGCACGTCAGGAGAGGTGTTGAGAGCGTTGCCATAATCTTGTGAAATGATACCTGTCTCCCTCTGCCTTTTGTTCAGTGAGGTCTCCCTGTTGTACAAATAAACCTTGGCCTCTGTGCTGGGCCGGGAGGACCCTCGGAGGAGAGGGAGAGCGAGCCCTTGTTTACCACAAACTCCAGGTGATGCTCCATTTCTTCAGTTTTCTGGAAGCCGAATCAGATGGGAAGCTGACGGCGATGGGTTGTTGTTGCACCGCAGTTTCCCTTGCCATGAGGAATCTTTCCCCGTAGCCTTTGGTCCGTGTCATCTCATGAAGGATGTGCTGTAAAATGTAAAAAATCTTGACTTCCTGAGGGCTTTTGTAATCAACCTGTTGCAGTATCCTGTTGAATTTTAGCAAAGGCGTATCTTCATTTCAGACTACTCTATAGCATCCTTTAAATTATGCTGCTTCGTTTCCTTTGTCCCCCCACAGCACTTCCTGGCATTTGCTCTGAGAGTTACATGGTGTCTGCTAGAACAAGGCCTTATTAAAATGGCATCATCCATCAGAGGTGATGCCCAGTGGTGGCCATTCTGTTGAAACAAGTCCCTTTTGCCAAAATGCATTCCCTTTGCCACCTGTGAGGCCACTGCCTGGGTTTTTAGGGAAGCTTTTGGTGTGACAGGATATCTACCGCATGGTATTGTTGAGGCTGAAGAATCTCTTAGCGTGTCATCAGTCTGACAAAGGTCCATCCCAGTCCTCCTGCAGGACTCTCACTGCTACCAAAGATGACTGCTTGTGATGGAGAGAGCCGA